TATATGGATAAGAGTGTAAAAGTATCTTTGAAAGCCTCTGACAAACTTTTGAGGTTCTTACTACAAACAAGAAGAATATGTCTCTGAATCTGTCTTCTGTTAGGAGTTTTAGGCATTTTAACCAATTTTAAGTTTATGTGAAATTTTTCAATTCCATAAAACTCAAAAACATGTGGGACAGTCTATTTTCAGGAAGGGGATGGTCTTGATCTTTTTTTGAACATGTCTCTTATTGCATAATTTTAATGTTCTAGCTAATTTCATAGTATATTTCTTTTTATAATACAATTGAAAATTATTCTTTATAGTGATAATAATGATGCTAAATATTGATTATATGCAGCTGGTCATTCCTGTTATTCTCTTATCTTAGACTGTCTGGAGAGAGGCAGAGCTTTGTCTATATTTAATTACTACATCACAGATGTTGGTCAAATCTGTGACGTCAAACTCCTGCCAAATGCCAAGTTAGTGTTGGTCAGTTAACATATAATGCAAAATGTACAGTATTAGAGCATCAAAGACACAAAGTGTGTGGTTCTATTGATAAAATAATGGTGTCAGAACACTCCTGGAGTGTTGTCAGTGGAATTGTTGTATTTATGTTGCATTTATAGGGGTTCTAAGGGGGAAATTCAGTTTTTAGGTCATTTCTCAGAACAATTTTTCATGAGAATTGTTAGCAAAAAATGAAAATAGAAACTTTATGGGTACCCCACTTGGTTTGACTTTGATATATGTGATTAAAGGGAGTATTTTCTAAAATACCGTGTCCTAGTTTTTGGATAATTTGTTTCTAAATGAATTTATGGGTGTCCAAAGATGAAAGGTGAAATGAGGTTTGGCACCCAGCATTTAAATCAATATATCTTCTTACTGGAGGCATATATCAAAAATCTGAGACACGGTTTTGTAGATTGTGTATGGTTGATTAAAGTGATGAAAACAAATTTTTACTACCATTTTACCTGAATGTGCCATTTTCATCCAAGTTTGAAGACCACTTTTTGGCAATTAAAGAGCTATATTTTGAGATTAGTCATACCAAAAATAATTTTATCTAAATATTAAGAAGGAATTATATTGCAGCTTTAAAATGAGTTAAATATTTTAAAAATCCATTGAGTAGTTTTGGAGAAATTAATCTTTAAAGACTGTTGGTTGTAGTCAGAAAATTCTGACTGTAGTGCTACCTTAAGAAAAAACATATGATACAGTACAAACAATGACAAACAACTTAAGGTCCAGAAAGTCTCACTTGGTATAGACACAAACTAAGGTTTTATGTACGCACACACACCTCCTCTTTTGCAGATCTACACCATGTGTCATAATACTAGAACAAACACAATAAAAAATGCACAGTACATGTGCAGCTACCAATGGGATGACCACTAAATAGAACAAAGAAAAACAATAAAAAATTTTGATGATATATTTAAAGGTGAAATTTTTAATGATATATTAGAAAGGTGATTAAACGAGGAATGAGGTGAAAACCGCCTTTATTTGTTAATCTATGGCAATGAGACAATATTGCAGCCGTGATGAAAGACCATTGGATCCAAGTCATTTTCAACTTAACTAGTTGCAATTGATTTCCTATTCATAAATTCATCTCTGGTTTAATGCACATAACTTCAATAACAATTATTGTTAATGCCAAGAGTATCAGGACAAAACTTGGGTGTAATAGCTACAAAGGTAACTGTTAGCTTAAAACCCAGTCCCCAATCATGTATTTTAAATAATTGATATTGGTTAATGTGCAGTAAAAGTAAAAATTGAATGTAACATTTGGTACTCATTAAGAATTTTATAGGCAAATCAATGGACTCAATATTGTTGGTCATTGTGAGAAGGGGCATCCCAATTTTGCCATAGCGAGTCTAACAGTGGGAAGAAAATAAATAGCAATGCCTTAATTGATTATTTTCTGATAATTTGGGCCATTGATGCAAACTTTAGAAACACTATGTGACAAACAACCCTATATTAAGAAAATAATGATCTAGCTTCACCTTAATATCTTTTCAACTTAAGATGGTGAAAGAAAAGACAGAAGGGATTAAGATCATTTTTGATAAGATAACATAAAATCAAATAATAACAAGAATGTGTCCATAGCACACGGATGCTCCACTCGCACTATCATTTTCTATGTTCAGTGGACTGTGAAATTGGGATCAAAAAGATCATATCATAGGGAACATGTGTACTAAGTTTCAAGTTGATTGGACTTCAACTTCATCAAAAACTACCTTGACCAAAAACTTTAACCTGAAGCGGGATAGACAGACGGACGGACGGACAAACGAACGAATGAACGAACGGACGCAAAGACCGAAAAAGATAATGCCCATAAATGGGGCATAAAAATAATGCACTGTAATAAGGTTTGGAAGTTGAAAAAAATTACATGTACTTTATAATTGTCTAGGTGGGATGCTTCAAAACAAGAATACAATGATAGGCTTCATAATTTCTGGGACTAAGAAACCTACAATACACCAGTTGAAAGGGGCGCAGATATTTTTTACCTATTTCAATTCAATTACCTGATTATACAATTTTTTAAATTTTAATTTTATCTAAATACTTTTTTATTATTATTTTTTCCTTTATTAATAAAGCGCCACCTACGATATTTAAGTACAATGGAGAAACTACATCAGTGACTACAATTTCACTATAGAGGATAATTCACAAGAGAGATTACCCTGTCATCACGACAAAGATTATTTCAATACTAGGAACAGACTATTTTGACACAGAAGGCTTCTGTAAATATATGAATCAGAAATTGTAATCCCCCTAAATATACAAACAGCACCATATAAATATTTAAATCACAAAACATTTTTTGGTATATATGAGACAGGGGTAAATAAAAAGTGGGGATGTGGGATAATTTTTTTTTTTTTGGGGGGGGGGGGGGGGGGGGGGGGGGAAACGTGGAATGTGTCATCTAAGAAATAAAAGCGAGACTTTCAAAATAACAGCGATTTAGGAAACGAGTCACCTACTCTTTTATATCAAATAACAGCCTAATGCTGTACCCCCAAGCCCTATATATCATCGCCTTATGGTAAGCCCGTACAATACATGGTTCATGTATATGCATTATGGATCATTATGGAATGAGGAAAACAGTCGACAATCTATTTTTCTTTGTTGTTTATAAGCGTGTTTCCCCCTGTTATTAACCCAAGAAGCAATGAATTTGGTATATAATATATGTTTCCATCAAGATCCGACTTTGACAGTGACGTTTAACGCCATTTTCAACTGGTACCGTATGTGGACGTTCGACAAACCGGGAACCGAAACGTTCAAATTCAAGGCCATCATTAGCTCATACCGACCGTTAATATTTGTATATTCCGAAGGCATACTGGATATTTTACGGAGGGAACCAACCTATTGCTGATATAAACCTTTGCTAAAAGTTTCATAAAATCTGGCGGGAATTGAACACATGAGAGCCCTAACTATGCAATTTTCCATATAATTGATGTTTCCAAGGGGCATAACTCTTTTAAAAATAATTGATTGGCACTGATTTTCGAACTCATCCAAGACATTGCTAATATAAACCTATGATGTAAGTTTCATAAAAATCTGGCAAGAATTGTACAAATGAGAGCGCTAACGATGAAATTTTTCGTATGATTAATGTTTCCAAGAGGCATATAACTCTTTTGAAAATAGTTCATCGGGTTTGATTTTCGAACTCGTCCCACACAATGCTGATATAAACCTATGTTATAAGCATTAAAAAAATATGACAAGAATTGTACGTATGAGAGCGCTAACAAGCGCAAAGGACTGATGGACGCCCGATATTTCTATGTCCCCTGCAACGTGTTGCGCAGGGGACAAATTAATTTAAATCTGTAAGACGTTGTTAAACATTATAAGTTATCTACGTTCATATCCGTAGATATGGATATTTTAACACCCTGAAGTACCCTATCCATATCTACGGATATGAACGTAGATAACGAATTTATCCCCGGTCATAGTCCAAATCTTGCGATTTTTAGAGAAATTCAACCACAAAATGTAACGTGAAAGCAACGTTTTTTTCATTTTTAAAAAATCTTTTATTGAAATTTGGTCATTTCCCACTTTGCTATTATTTTATAAAATAAATGGGGAATGTGCCCATGGGACACATATGATGCCCCCGCTTGCATATAACGTTATAAAGGGACATAACTCAAGAAGGGTAAAAGTGACGCTACCCAAATTTGTACTTGATCTGAGTTTTGTGGTAATAAACATTGTGTATAAGTTTCATAACAGTTGGTTGAGGCAAACTTAAGTAAGAGAACGGAAACGAAAATTTCAGCATTTTTTCCATTTGTAAAGGGGCATAACTCTAGAAATGTAAAAGTGACGCCACCAAAATTCAAACATGATCTCTTGTTTGTGGTAATAAGCATTGTGAACAAGTTTCATAACATTTGGTTGAGGCAACCCCGCAAACGGAACTTATTCTAGAGGTATTTTTTTGTGTTCCAGAAATAAAAGCATGAAAAAAGTGTCCAATTAGTTATGCATAACCTACAAGCGTGTTAGACAAGGGCAATGGTACCTATTTCAAAATTCCCGGGAGAGGGGGGGAAGCAAATCTAGAGTGCTAGCAAAAACTATATTTTTTTTCAGGCAGTCACTGAACTATGAAATTGAGGTCAAGGACAATGGACATATGACAGACGGAAACTTGGTAACATAAGGTATCTGCATACAAGGTTATGAAGCATGGCCATCCAGGTCTTCTACCTTCTAAAATATAAAACTTTTTTATAAACCGTTTGCACCGCCGCCGCTGGATACTGTGACAAAAGTTGCAGGAGAGACAATAAAACAACTAATATTATAGCATGTGTAGGTCGTGATGATCTTTAGAAGTGCTCTGTAAAGACAACTACAACTATCTGGACAAAGATTGTAAGGATCCTTATATATTTTAAGTAATTACTCAAAATTTTTACCGCTTTCTCTATTTTTTTCCCAGTTTTTTTTAAGTCTTGTTTTAATTGATCGACTGGTGATTTTTTCGTCTTTTTGTCATAGATGTAAGTCTTGGCAAGTATAGCAGTCGCTGCAACCACAACAATGCCAATAGCTATGGCTGGGAAACCCTGTAAAATAAAGCATGTTTTGATTTCTCTGAACTACTGTGACAATTCAAATACCAAATCTACCTTTATAGTGGACATATCAGTACACTTGTGTGACAAATTCAACTTAATGCATGTATAGCGAAACCTGGTTTAAGAGACCACCTAAGGGAGAGCAAACAAGTGGTTTCATGAGACAGGTGTTCTTTTTATACAGGTTCAATCTATACATGCTATATGAAATGAACTACAGACATCAGAGGGACCTAAAATTAATAGTCCTCTAATACAGGTTTTTGCTTAAGGATGTACTTAGGTGAAATTGAAAAAATTAAGGAAGAGTTAAGGAACAAAATAGGCTAAAAATATTGATAGGTTATGGAGCTCCCTTTCGAGATATTTATTATTTTTTTTAAAGGCAGGAAAAGGCTGACTTGGACTTTTACCTCAACATGTATTTGCATTGGTATTGACATTTTATGAGCTATTGAAGTCTTACATAAAAAGAAAAATGGGTGATATGAGGCATAATATTTCACCCTGTATCGTAGGAAAAGAACCAAGGTGTCCGAACATCTGACACAAATTCCTAAACCTGACCTAAGTACATCCTTAGGGAGCTACCATTTGATTTTTATGGGGGAGGGGGGGGGGGGGGCTAGGATGAAATTTGAAGAAAAGGCAGGACTCATGAGCATCTTTGCAAAAAGAAAAGGCAGGATGACAATTTATGTTAAAAAAAAAATCAGGATAAACTAATAAAAAAAAAAGGCAGGAACGAATAGAGTGAAAAATAAAAAGGCAGGGCAGAGGACAAAATTTTTCATCATTTTGAAATTGTACAAACTCGTGTGACGTTGCTGTACTGATACCGGTACATGACGTCATAATGTCTCATATTTTCGAGTATCAAGTCAATCATAGGGAAAATATACAAATTGCTGATAAATTTATTTATGAATGCATAAAAAAATCCTTGTTTTTTGGCCCCTTATTCTTAAAGGTTTGAGTCATAACCCCCAAAATCAATCCCAACCCTCCTTTTGAGGTATGGGGGGGGGGGGGGGGGGGGTCAGGTATGGAACCTGGTGGTATAATTTCATAGAGATCTATACACCTAGACTATACACAAATTATAGTCCTGAAACAAGAAAAATTCTTGTTTTTGGCCCCTTATTCCTACACAACTATAGTCATTGAGATCCATACACTTAAATTCATTTTATTGTCTGGAAACCAAATTTAGTCATAGGTAATACTTATACAAGTGTATTTTATTTACTGGTACATGTAAATTGTTTTGGAAGCATAGTTTTATACCTTTTAGACATTCAGATTTTTTTTCTACTTACACAATACTAGTGTCGCTCACCTGTATCTATTGTGGTTTTGGAAATCATGTAAAATAAGGTAAAATCATATAGATACCCTAATAATGATTGAGGCCAAGTTTGGTTTAATTTGGCCAAGTAGTCAAATCAAAAGCAGAAAATGTTTGAAAAGATTTACAAAATTTACCAATAAATTGCAGAAAATAACTTTAAAGGACAATAACTCCTATAAGATGTCAATTGTCAATTGGTCATGTTAACTTATTTGTAGATCTTTCTTTGCTTGATATTTTTGCTGTTTATATCTCAATCTATAATGATATTCAAGATAATTAACAAAAAATAAAAAAAAATCCTTTCCTCCGCTCCAAAATTTATTGCACTCAGGGCTGTATAATGCTGAAAATGCCTTTAAATGTTTTTATGGAATACCTTTCCAAAAAAATTTGGCAGGGTTTCCCCTGACCCAAACTAATCCGCCGGGTCTGGGGGTCATTCACCCAATATAAGTATGCTGAAAGAAAAGATATAATAATGGTTTATAGAAAAAGTAACACTGAATAATTCTGAAAATGGAACATATCAAGGAGAAATTATTAGCCCCCCCCTCCCCCTGAAAAAAATTGCACCCCTTGGAAAACAAATCAAGTCAACCCATTGTAGTTACTGAAGACCCCTTATCATTATTTAAATTAGTTTTCAAGTTGTGACCATTTGAAATTGTTTTTTTACATTTTTTCCATAGACTTCTATAGTAAACCCATATGTTCTATTTTTACCAATGGGGACCATCTTGGTTGTAGGGTAGGGTCATCGGAAACATTTTGCAATCAAGATACTCTAATAATAATCGTGGCTAAGTTTAATTCCATTTCGCCAAGTAGATTAAGAGGAGAAATTTTTTTTTTAAAGATTAAAAAAATTTACGAAAAATAGTGAAACATTGGGCAATAACTCCTTAAGGGGTCAATTGACAATTGTGGTCATATTCACCTGATGAAAATTGTAACCCCGTTAGATTTGCTCTAAATGCTTTAATTTCAGAGATATAAATCAAAAAACCACATTTTACCTCTATGTTCAATTTTTGGCCATGGCGGCCATCTTGGTAGGTGGGCGCGGTCATCGGATACATTTTTAAAACTAGATACCCTAAGGATGATTTAGGCCAAGTTTGGTTTAACTTGGCCCAGTAATTTCAATATTAAAAAAATAAAAGATTACAAAAATTTACAAAAAATTGTGAAAAATTGAATTTAAAGGGCAATAACTCCTTTTTGGTCATGTTGACTTATTTGTAGATTATAATTAGCTGAACATTTTTGCTGTTTACAGTTTATCTCTATCTATTATATTATTCAAGATAATAACCAAAAACTGCAAAATTTCCTTAAAATGACCAATTCAGGGACAGCAACCCAACAACGGGTTGTCTGATTTGTTTGAAAATTTCCGGGCAGATAGATCTTTACCTGATAAACATTTTTACCCCCATGTCACATTTGCTCTAAATACTTGAGTTTCAGAGATATAAGCTAAAAACTGCATTTTACCCCCATGTTCTATTTTTAGCCATGGCGGCCATCTTGGTTGGTGGGCAGGGTTATCGGATACACTTTTTAAATTAGATACCCTAAGAATGATTTACGCCAAGATTGGTTTAAGTTGGCCTAGTAATTTCAGAGGAGAATATTTTTGAAAAAATTACAAAAATTTACGAAAAATTGTGAAAATTTGACTTTAAAGGCCAATAACTCCTTAAGGGGTCAATTGACAATTTTGGTTATGTTGACTTATTTGTAGATCTTACTTTACTGAACATTTTTTTTTAACAGTTTATCTCTATCTATTATAATATTCAAGATAATAACCAAAAACTGCAAAATTTCCTAAAAATTACCAATTTAGGGTCAGCAACCCAACAACGGGTTGTCTGATTTATTTTGAAATTTCAGGGCAGATAGATCTTGACCTGATGAACAGTTTTACCCAATGTCAGATTTGCTCTAAATGCTTTAGTTTCAGAAAAATGTCAAAAACTGCATTTTACCCCTATGTTCTTTTTTAGCCATGGGGGCCATCTTGATTGGTGGGCGGGGTCATTGGATACATTTTTTAAACAAGATACCCTAAGGATGATTTAGACCAAGTTTGGTTTAATTTAGCCCAGTGGTTTCAGAGGAGAAGAATTTTGTAAATGTTAAGGACAACGACGACGATATGCTCACTTGACCCTTTAGGTCAGGTGAGCTAAAAAGGCTTATTTTTTTCTACTCTCGAATTGCTCTTGACTACATTGCTCTAACAGAGTGTTTAATTGTCTGCCATTAAAAGTTGTCTTTACTTTTCATAAAAGTATAATTTCAAGGACAATGAAAATCTTATGTGTCTGTTATCTTCAAAATACTGCTCATTTACAAGCCTTCAGGGAGCAATTTTTGAAGGCCTTGCGAGCACAATGGATTTCTTTGCTTAGTTCTTTAGATAAATGGTTGAACTCTAATTAAAAATTGATTAGCAAACCAGAAAAACTCTGTTTAGACATGTTTTGACCTCCCAAAACTTGAGAATTTTAGGGGTTGTAAAAAAAAATATACTTGTATTCATGAGTAAATTTTTGGAAAAGATTAAGGGGAGATAATTCAAACCTTGAAAATAAAATAAAAATCTTATAAATTTACTTATACAAGTAAATACTACTCAACCTTCAAATAAATAAAAACGATTGTACACTTATAAGTATTACCCCTGAATGCCATTATACGGAATCAACAAATGTTGCGGTCTTATAAAAAAGGGCCCCAACTTTTAAGTCATCTCAAATGACTAAAATTGTGTGAACAAAAGTCCTAATCCTTCATTGTTAACCTGCTACTTGCAAGCATTCCATTTTTCTCAACTAGATCACTCATAACAAAAAAAATGTTGACCTATTATTCGAACAAAATTATTTAAGCCTTATCAAAAAAGAAATAACTTTGCATAATTTTCAAAATTTTAAAAGATACCTTAAAGAGATGACTTGAATTTCATCTACCTATTTAATTCCCTTGTTTTTAATTAAATTGAATCATGTACAAAATGTATGATTTTGTAATATTTGATTCTTTATCATGTTCAGGCCAAATGCATCCCTAACATGCCTGTAACATAACCTCTTCCTTCACTTTTTTCATATCATTTTCTACTTTATCCTTTCATATATTCTACATATATATTAAAATATATACAAAATATAAATGTTTGTATGTCATGTAAATAATACTGTTTATAAATAACAAACACATCAACATGATCAATAATGAACAGCTGACACGAAAACATCATTCAATTGTATGACTCCATAGGTGTGTTCATGTATTAAGCCAAAATATAAATACTTTCCTACCTCTAGTAATTGGCATGTCAATTTTAATTTCTAGATGTATTGATACACATAAAAGAAAAGAGTAAAATCGAAGATGCACTTAGATGCATATGCATATCAGAAAGTTTCTAAAACAGACAAAATATGTATCATATGATATAACATTTAATCTGATTAACTGAAAGTTGTGTTTATAACTACCAGAAACAATAATAGTGCATGTGACATAAGAGTTTATAGTTACTTAACTGTAAAAGAGATGAGCACATCTTCAGAAACAAAAACTAGTGCATGTGACATAATAAACATAACTGAAGTTGTAACTCAAGGCTTGAAAAGAAAAACAAATTCAAATATGAAACGCAATTAAGGCCTCACTCAAACTATCTGTGATAAACCTAACCAAGGACACACCAAAATAATTCCTTATCTAGTTCTTCAGACTCCCTCTATCGAAATTAAATCTTTGCATAGAGATTTCCATGCAGTGCTTGATTTACATAGGAACACTTGTAAACAGTTAAACATCCAGACAATTGATAAGAAATTATACTTTAAACATGTTAAATGTTATTTTAAATTAAGAATATGAAAAATTAACAGAGGTGAATTTTCAAGCATACAAAATTAACATAAATTATATTTGCAAAACAACTTAACTTAAGAAAGGCTGAAATGGCTAGATTTAATGATTAAAGTTACTTGATATCAATATTGAAAGTGATAAGATTCTCATAGGCACAAGTTTTGAATCAACACCTAACTCATTAATATGATTAAACAAGTCCATGAATTACGTTTACTTCACGGAGGACAGACGAAATTGAAGGCCAGCATCCTAAATGACATGTTTGGGTCAAATTCATTTGATGTGTTTTGCATTAATATAGATGGCTTAAATATTCAACTTATTACAAATTTTATTTTATTTGTAAATATTTAGAATTGTTTTATGTCTAAATTCATGTTCAAATAATCTTTTCAACACACAACACACTTAAAAAAAATAATTGTAAATTTGAATACGGACGCAGGCATATAGGACACGATTTAAAAAAAAAATCATGCTACCTTTTGTAGCACACAGGGAATCTGCAAACAAGGAAACAATTTGGAGGGGTGATATATTTTCAAAACTTCACATCATAAGGAACACGTGTACTAAGTTTCAAGTAGATGAGATGACATCTTCGACATGCTCATGTGGAATAGTAATCTTCCTTTATGGCCTTCAACCAAACTTTGACCTACTAATTCTTTGAAATGAAACTAACGGTATTTTCTACTGTACCTATTCAAAACTTTGACCTACTGGTATATTCTAGTTTTGTTTTAAATAATCCGACCATAATGAGCTCTGCAACCAGGTGATATTATAAATGTAAATGTGAGTCGGTCTTTATGATTAATTTCTCAACGACCTGTAATGAGCTTGTGTAATTGGATTATTTATTAGAGAGATATAAATAACTTATTGTGATATGTATATTGGTTTGTATGAGTTTTTATTTGTTTTTGTTTTGAAATGTTACCATTGTATTATAAATCATGTTTATTATTGTATATTTACCTCATGTTACACATACATGTGTCTGAGCGTTGCTAAATACATTAAAATCTTGAAATCTTGAAAAATGATGAAGTAGAAATTAGAATCTACACTAAAGGATACTTTGATGTAAAATATGACATGTTATCACATACTAATAGCACAAACTCTATGTATATAAACAAAAAAAAATTCAACCTAGACTTCTTTGCTTGAATTAAGTTTTATAATAAATTGATAAAGATAAGTAAAAATTTGAATTCCCAGGGGCGGATCCAGCCATTTATAAAAGGGGGGGGGGTTCCTAACCCAGGATAAAGGGGGGGGGGGTTCCAACTATATGTCCCCATTCAAATGCATTGATTGTCAAAAAAAAAAGGGGGGTTCCAAACCCCGGACCCCCCCCCCCCCACCCCCCCCCCCCTAGATTCGCCACTGATTCCTATTATCAAAGGATTTGTATAGTAATATATTACTATACAAATCCTTGATATTATACAATATTTTTTATCATGTTCAGCAACATGCAAATGATATTTTCATGTAAAATATAACATTAGATTATTTATAATTATTTATATAGTTCCAATCCTCTTTAAATACTTTGTCAGAGTTGTCATTATAGATGGTCCGAGTTGACTTTATAGACGGTCCAAGTTGTCTTCATAAACGTTCTGCGTTGTCTTATTAGTCGGTCCTATTTGACTCGGTCCGACTTGTGTCAGGGCCGAGTTGTTCGCCATTTCGTTAGTCCATGATTGTGTTGGTACTTTGTGGTTTATAGATATCACGTGATTTATTGGACCCGGGAAGCCGTGAAGATGGTTGTCAGTACATGTAGATATTCTCAATATTTAAAATCGATGGTGACCTTAGAGAATAAAACGTTAATATATATGAATTTGAGCGTTTTTTTATTCATAATGAACATAATATTAATTGTTCATTTTTTTTGCGAAGTTGCCCTTCAATGCAACCTAAATCATCGCTGCTGACATCGCTGTCACAAATCCAAAACATAATTTAGTCAAAAATATAGGATTCAAATTTATTTGAGAAGATTGCACTTACCAATTCTATGGCCATATCTGATCTGTTCTGTTGTTAGCTTGGGAAAAAATCACTAAACTTTTCTTTTACACCGCAACATAATCACCAGGAGACCTTCACCTCTTTGAGTGTTTTTTTTTATTTTGTAACAAATACGCAATTCCGAAAATTGACTATTGAAAGAGTGATAACTCTTGTTCATTAAGTTGACTGAAAGAAACAGATTACAAAATGATTCTTTTTTTAGAATTTAATTTTTCACTTGAAAAAAAAGTTATCATAAAAAACTATTTTTGCCCAACTTTTAATAGTTTATGCCACAAACAAAATTGGCCACATTCAAAAGGGTCTGGATGGGTAGCTTTATTTCTTTATTCAATGATTTTTAGGTCATGTTTCTCTATTCTTTACAATTTTATGTTCATTATTCTCAATTCTTTATATATTAGTAACCCATTATTTTCTATTCTTTATTTTTAGGCCCTACCCAGACTCTCATACATGGACCACCATGATTTTTTGTTAGAATGTCAATCCGACCCATATACATCATTTTAAAACAATTTTATTTTGGTCAAGGGGTGTGGTCAATGTTTTCCAGAAGATAATAGACGTTATAAATGCATAAAAAACAGCGATTTGGCTAAAAACTTGAAAAATATCACCATTTAGAAGCTTTCAACATTGTTAAAACAAAAGACAGACAACAGAAGTGTATATAGTTTGTCTACATGTGCATATTTAAGACCATAGATATGGGTTTTTACATGTGGTATAACAAAGTTAGATTTAAAGGGCCAATTTGAGTCCTACTTGGCCATACTCCTTTACATTTTTTCGTTATATTTTTTAAATATAAGAAACTAAGATTATTTCAATTAATAAATATTCAAGAACACTTACATTATCTTTAAAGTCCCTTCACTTAGGTCATTTTTCATAGATATAAACCAGTCAGCAAAGTTACATGAAATCTGCTTATAGCATTTTTGAGTTATTGTCCGAAACCTAGAATATCCCCCCTTTTTTATAAATAAAAACCAATAACTCGGAAACGTAAAATCTAAAATTTCTAAAAACCAAAAGGGAGCTTACGTGAATAGATATAAACAATTTATAAAAGTTTACTGAAAATTGCCTAAAGCGTTTTTGAATTATTGTCCGACATGTTTACAACGGACGGACGGACAACGATATACCTGATTACGACCCGTAAACAGGCGTATAAAAGGAGTGTTGAAACGATTGCCAATAAAGTCTAATATAGGGATATGTCCTATATTATTTTCACGTAAAAAAGTTCTGCAATAAAGGGGGGTCTCCAACTTTGTCACTATGAAATAATTTAGAAACACAGCGAATCAAATTATGTGAATACGATTCACCTTTGTTGCGGAATAAATTCTTGAATTTTACATCATTCTTCTTTTCTATTTCCTTCGCTACCTTTTCAACCTCATCTGCAAATTGTAGTACAGGGTGTAAAGAACACTGAAACTCATTTATTTCACATTCATTTATTAGCAATCCCTCTGTACTTTAAGTTTTGATTTCGTTCAGTAACTTATTCGATTTCAGCTCTGTTGTGTCCTGTTTTTCATATAATTTGTTAATTTGCAGACAAATTCATTTGTGTTGGTAACATCATTCACCATATCTAAGGTAGCTTTTACATATTTGACCGCAGTCCCACTTGATATCTCTTTTAATCCTGCAAAGCATAGGTTTGGTGATTCTCATATACTAATTATATTACGTGTTCACCCTGTCTTGTCAGGAATATGCATGAAGTATTTGCCACAGGCTGTTTTGGTTTTCATTTCCTTCCCATATTTTTAATTCGTTTTATGATACCTCTGTTCATAGTTGACAACTAAATTATACACAAAAGAGATATCAATTTTTCAAATGTGAACTTTCCTTTTCTGTATAATTTAAATTATACATGGCCTGTACATGGTTTATATTCTCAAAGTGTATCGGATATTCCAGGGCTTGCATTTCCTATCATGATTTCTTTGATAGAGGGTCAACGATTACATTGTCAAACAAGTTACTCAAGCAATGGTTCCAAGTGGTAACATTTTTTAATCCAAAGTTTTACGGACACCATCATGATTTTGAAAAAAATGTCCAGAAATCATTAAATACCATGCAACTTCACTTGTAAACATAATGAAAGCTGTATAATTGTGTACTCTTAGTCCTGCGTTTAATATCCGCTACAGGCAACGACCACCTTTTGTATAGGATTTTTTTTTTGGGGGGGGGGGGGGGGGGGGCAAGTTATATGTTTTCTCGACTCTATAAAGAAATATTTTTGTATACCAAATAGCTACAATATACATATGATATAATTACTGACCATTATTTATCCTCTTCATTACGAACGAGAACAATATTTTTTTAATTTATCCCCCTGTTTTTCAGTTGAAACAAGTTATAATTCACTTCCCTTCTGAACGTTTTTTTTTTCTCTCTCAAGAAATAAAAAAAATAAAACAATTTATCGGAAAAACAATGTCCCCTCCCGACACATACAAAACACGATGATGGGAGGTTTCAATAATCTTGTATTTTGGCAGTGGTTTTTCTTCCAGGTTCAAGATATAGGGGTAGAGGGGAGAATTTTTGCAGAATTATCATTTTAACCTGTTGCTAGGCCGGCATATTATAGCAGTGCCAAAATTTATTTTGATTTTGTTAGGTAGCATAATCAACTCTCACTGCATATAAGTTATACAGCATTGAATAATTTACAAAAAAAGTCCCACGAACTTCACTTTATATCAAAATGGTTCTCAACTTGAGATGTAACTTTCTAAACTTCAAATAAATACATCAAACATATTGTTACAGCAGCATTCCAACGGTCCATTCTGTAGATAATGTGAAGAATGTGGTACTGTATACAATAAAATGATTGACTTGTTTAGATGCCTTAATGCATATTCATAAAATTGAGAATGGAAACGGGGAATGTGTAGAAGAGACAACAATCCGACCAAAGAGCAGAAAACAGCCCAAGGCCACCAATGTTAATTATAGCTCGACTCAGAACAGGAGTAATAGCTCGCTGAAGCTCGCAATACACATGTTCCTTAGCCTCGTACAAATACAGCATTAAAGACATTTACAGTTGTTTACAATTCTTTATGTTATGGAATCATATTTTTGAATTGCCAATTCTCATGAATGATTTCCATGTAACCAGATAAACATTTCAGTTTTTGGAATTTGGTTATATTTTTGTAATTCTTTTGTCATCAGTAGTACATCAGCAAGAATATCGACCCAGTGATAGTATATGTAGTAGAACATAGTTATGAAATAGTTTTAAAATGGATCAAAACTATTTTATTGTGGTTGTTCTACTACATACATGTATTGGTTCAGTAAAGACATGAATAATTGCCAAACTTCATAATATTTGAGGACATAACAAATTGTCTTATTTCTGAACAACTAGTCTAATTGCAAATGCTTATAGATGACCCGAATATTTATCTAAAACAAATCCTTTGGACATTAAAAGAAAACCATCGCCGAAATATTGAAAGGAAAATTGCAAAAAAAAAATATAATATAGAAAAACAATCGTTTGATTTCTATGGGATTTTCTCGTTAGAAACAATAATAGCGAAGGTGTACCAATAGATTATTTTCAAAATGTGTTACTTGTTTGTTTGATCAGTTACATCAAATTATCCATACTTGACTGGAGTTAAGTGTGAGTAATTAATTTCTTTTTAAACATATTACGAAAGCCATTTTATTAGAAAATTGCTATCGCTTACATGAATGCTCGACAATCCACAATCCCTCAGATCCCCAACCGGTCACAATCCCAACGCCTTGTATATGTATGGGTAATGGGTCTTTCCAATCCAGGACTGCTCTAGAACCTGCCATTACATTTATCCTTCTCCCAATTGACTTCAACCAACCTGTGCTCTGAACAGCTCAGTATATGTTTTTGCATAAAAGCGATAAAATTTTAATCAACAACACGACGTAAAAATATCTTCGTATTATGCTGCCCACCGATGCATATTTCATAACCGTAAGAAGAGTTCAGGTTTATGTCAGCAGAGAGTAGAACAAAAGCGTCTGAACATGCTTTAAAATGAAATTTCACAGATCTTCTGTTGGCAGGAAATATGTCGAGAGTTGACAAACTTGTATAATAAGTATCAACATTTGAATTCGAGCAGATATCAATGTTTCCACTGTTGATAGTTTTAATCCATACTTCATCCAAAGGATAACTTGCAGTTGAATTATATACAGCGCAATTTAATATCTTTAATTCGTTTTCAATCACTCGTAGTTTTAACGTATTTAATCATAGAGTAAAAAAAGTGTAAGAAGACTGCAGACATAACCCAGCATTATTCTGTCTTTGTGGTCATGTGTTTTTTGTTAGATCATTTTTACTGATTTATTTTAATGGCGTACCCTAGTGATGTGGGATCATTTAGACATTAAAATCTAACGAGAAGTCAAAAGAAATCGTTTCTGGTTACAAGATCGACCTAAAATTATATCGAGTAAAATTAATTAATCTATATCATAGTTTAAAACCATTGTCGGAAATAATGACACATGTTCCTGGACTGTCATTCCAGCGGTAATATGACACAACAATGTAAACTAAAGGCAAACTAATGTGTTTTCGTGGACCATGACGAAGTTTGGATAGAAGAGCGCATACCTTCCAAGAAATCGAGACATGAACTTCGTTCAATTATGTAAATTGCAAACATAAAGTTACTGTTTTTGAAATATTTGCCATATGTTGAACAGGGGGCGATGTTGGAGAGTCAGAACTTGCTTATTGCAATTTGATATGAAGACAAGCTTTTGTTTCAACATTTTATTATTTTTGTTTGAATTTCCAACATCAGGCATTTGCCTCATTTGCCTCAATGTAGTTACGGCCCTGATTAAATAAATTAAAATATGAAAAAAAATTACCAAAAAAAAGGGATTTCTTTTCGCCAAGCGCCAGAGTTCTAAATCATAAAATGTTTTAATTACTGCAAATATCTTTTTGTGTATAAAGGTATAGAAAATTTATCACATTGACCCTGCATAATATCTTTTGTTTTACAATATTGATCTTGTTCTTTCGTTTGAATATTCAAGCAAAGCAATGACAATTAAATTGCTAAACAAGTAAAATATTAAGCATATCGGTCAACATGGATTTTTTTATTTCAGGGAAAAGTAACCCCAAATATCATGATACCCGTTACACGCAAAGACACAAACTTTTGTAGGGGGGGGGGGAGGGGTAGGTAATTTGTTTTCTCGACTCTATAAAAAATATCTTTGTATACCAAATCGCTACAATATGCATATAATATAATTACTGACCATATGTTATCCTCTTCATTACGAAAGAGAACAATGTAAATTACAACTCAGTGTTATTTATCCCCCATGTTTTTCAGTTGAAACAAGTAATAATTCACTTCCATTCTGAATGGTTTTTTTCTCTCACGAAATAAGAATAATAAAACAATTTATCGGAAAAACAATGCCCCCTCCCAACACACACAAAAGACACATTGAAAGATTTTAATAATCTTGACTGGCAGTTATTTTTTTCCACGATCAGGATATAGGGGTAGAGAATTATCATTTTAACCTGCTGCTAGGCCGGCATATAAAGCAGTGCTAAAATTTATTTTGATTTTGTTGGGTAACATATTCATTTTCATCACGTCTTGGGCAATTTTATTTATTTTCATTTCTTAACAGGCCAGATTATTCATTTTCATAATACTCCCTGCACATTATGCGGTGGGAAATATACACACTGTAACAAGGTGTCAAAAAACATCCTCCCCCAAGAAAAAGGAAAAATTGATAGTAGCATGAATAGAGAACGAAAAATGTCTCTTTTATTAAAATATTTAGTATAGAATTTCAAGGAGCGTGGAACTTAAATATCTAACTGTAGAACAGGCAAATAATTAATTAATTTCGTTTTATATGAAACATTATGCGGTTTCCTGTTTTTTTAGATTTTCTTCTTCTTCCGGATACGGGAGTAGACACCTAGGTAGGAGTCTTAAACTTACGGAAATTTATGATACAAATCTGACTTTTTGGAGGAAACTACTTATTTCTGTTCATTATGTATGTGGTGTTTCAAGTAGATTTACATTTGACAATATTTGCGATTTCCTTTTTTCGGAGATATGATAAAAATCTTAGGTTTAACTCAAAATCCTAATTTTTTGTCATGACATTTTGTTAGTTTCCTTATATCACAATCAGTTGTGTGATTTTTCAAATAGAGCATCATTATAATAATAACATGTGTTGCTCCGTACATGAAATAAATATTAAAATTCCCAAATTTTCATTGATTTACATAAACAATGCTTTTTAAACCAAAAAATCATCAATTTTCACCACTAATATCGTTGTTAGTATATTAAATATGATATCCCGGACACAAAAACACTCGAGTAGCTTCCTTTGTAATTTTATTTATTTTTTATCATTTTCTGAATAGATTGGCTGGACTAACTGGTACACGCATATAAAAGTAGGTAATGTGAAAGATGATTATAAATATGTTTATAACCTGCTATTCTCTACACAATTCAGTAAAGATATGTATCTATAATCTGACAAGTTTTTTTTCTTATTTGACATATAATCTTTTTTTAAAGGAACAAGTTAACATTTGATTGGAAATTTGACTACTTGAAGAGAATACACCATTTACTATTCACTGCCAGCCTAGGTAAAGCTAATTAAAAAGCGAACATAGGAGCTTTGAATAATAAAAAAAAATATTTAAAAAATATAAATAAAGAGCAGCATTGAAAGATTAAGTTCATAGATTGAATTAATGTGTTACAAAATGATGTGAACAATTAGTCATGAATGTTTGAAATGATACAGAAACATGATAGATATGATAATTAGTACGGAATGAAATATAGCAAATTTGAAGTTTTTCTAATATGAAAATATAATTTAATAACAATATATGACCAAAAACAAACAATGCACAGATTGTGAAAGGTTATGTGTTTAATTAAACATGTTTAATGTATGCTGATAAGATTTAAATTTTAATATTACTCTGGTAATCTGTAGGGGTGTTTGCTCAGTGTACTGATCTAAATTTCTTTTCCTTAGAATTCATTTATGTATATAAATTTTAACCGTTAAATTTTAAGCAGAACAAGTACAATGAGAAAATATTTTCGCATGTGTCCAGAGTCGTTTTAAAATGATAATTATATGTGACAAAGTATCCTACTTCTGATGTACTGTAACATTCTTTTAAATGCAACGTTTGGGTTTTCTACTGTTTACAAAAGAAATACTAGAGATGAATGCAGTATGAAATATTAAACCATGAAAACAGTGTTTCATTAAATTTGATATAACTTTTAAACAAAAAGACTTAAAATATCAAATTTACTCTTTCTTTTTATTTCATGCATACTTTCAGAACAGTAATATTCATTTCCATCTCTAGCCAATGCAATGAGATTTTATGGCCTTTAAGATTGATTGTAGTGTACGTAGAAACACATGCACTTCTTCTTCTTCAATAGTTTTAGGTCAATAGCACATTGAATTGTTCCCGCACAAGTGTTAATTTATTGATGACTGATAGGAGAGTAGAAAGGTGTATTGTACATTCAAATGTAATTGTTTAATTTACTTTGAGTTCATAAAATAAATGTATACTTCCAATGGTTTAAGTGGAAATAAACATTTACCAACATCAGGCTAGTTATTAATTGTATGCCGAAAACACGATGTAGAATAATTGAGGAACGGTTTCTGTTTTCTCTGTGATACATTATTCTCACTCGAAATAATTTCCGGTTCCATCGAGGTTTTTTTCTAATTGTTTCATTGAAATAGAAGTTTTTCTGTCAGATATATATTATTATATGAATTAAAAAGACCATGCAAAAAGTTCACATATTGCATTACAATTTATGACATTTCATAGCACCGTCGGTACATTTATGCACCTATATACTCCTCAAAGAGTTGCTGCAACCCTTTTCCGTTTGCTGCGCACTCGCCCTACACAAGTCATCGGATGGAACGTCCTAATACTTCGGATGGACACGTTGTTGACTTTACAGTTGTGATAAACAAATAGGTCGAGATAGATGGAAAAATGCATTAAATTCTATATGACATTTAAAAAGTACATTAATGCTTAAATGTCTGGTTAAATAGGTTGATTCTGAAATATAAATATATTAGAACTGTATATCTATCATTTCTATTTAGTTAATCATCACCATAATACTCAATGCTAGCTAACATAACATACGCGATAAACCTAAAATGGCGCTATTTTCAGAAGGTCTGTGGTATAAAGTTATAACAAAACAAATGAAGTGACAGATCATACGGCCAACACAGACATTGGAAGAACCATTATGTTTACACTTTTGTGGTCCATGAAAAAGACACTATGGACACCTAATCTGGTGATGAAATATTCTTTTCAATATTAAATCTTTAAAAAAAAATATTTTAAACTAACATAGTTGTTCAGTTGTTCAGTTTTGAATTGTTTTTATTGTAGAACTATGGCAGCAAACTATTGCGAACCATGCACTGCACGTGGTTTGACTCCTACAGCATTTCGATGGTGTTCCGAATGCGATGAAGCACTGTGTTCTGAATGTACAGAGGCCCACAAAGTTCAAAAAATTACTCGAAATCACCATTTGGTAGAGACAAGTAAAATACCAGAAAGAATTAATCTATCCTATAATTGTTCAAAGCATGAACACTTACCATTGGACTTTTTTTGTGTAAATCATGATGTAATGTGTTGTCAAGAATGTTTGCCCCAAAATCACAGATCATGCAAAAACGTCACATCCATTGACCTGGCATCAAAAAATTCAAAACAATCGCAGTCGTTCATTGATTTTGAAGAACACCTGAGCTTTGTTATCGAGGCTTTATATAAGTTGAACAGCAATTGCAAGGAAAACGACAATCGAATAGAACAACAAGAGACGAAAATTCGAAAACAAATAGAGAAAATAAAAGAACACATTATCAAACAATTGGAATCTTTAGAGGAATCGCTTCTAAAAGACCTAACCGTAATCAAAGACAAAATCATAACCAGGTTGAAACGACAGGAAAAAGATATAGGTGACTTGATTACATCCTCAAAAGCTGAAAAGGAGTCTTTGGAATTTGTAAGAGATCATGGTTCTGAAAAACAAGCGTTTGTTTCAATTCATTCATCCAAACCAGTCTTAGATGAAATTGAAAACAAAGTTAAGCAGCTATCCGAATCGTTGGCATACACCAGTCTTACGTTCGTCGAAAGCGTCTCAAAGGAAAAAATAACAGATCTCGGATCAATAGAATTAACGGAAACACCTTGTTCCTTTCCATTTGTCCCATTCAAGCAGTGCCAGTCACAGGTTCCAGTCGTTTTAAAGCGCCCTAGCACCTCTTACACCTATCTCCACGACATTGACACGAAAGGAGATGATTTGAAAGGAGTAACTGGCATCACGATATCAGACAATAACACATTAATTTTCTGTGATGTAAATGCTGGAAAGATTTATTTTTGTGATGACACCGATAACTTCTTATCATCTATCAGCTCTCCTTTTAAACCATGGAATATAGCAGCCATACCAGGAACAACTACTGCTGTAATGTCTGGTAGAACTGATCCTTACGTACGGTTCTTGGATATAACAAAACGGAGGCTTTCAAAAAAAGTAAAAGTGGGACAGAGTGGAAGTGGTAGTATTGCTGTTACCAAAGATAACATATTCGTAACAATTAAAGGAAAGATACAGGTTCTAGACTTGAGTGGAAAGGTTAAAAGAATAATTAGTCTAAAACATGAACAGGCTATAAATTGGTACATTTCTGTTTGCCAAAATGGGAACATTTGTTATTCAAGTGGAAATGCAGTTCATTGCATTACATCAGTTGGGTGTCCTGTTTTTTCCTATAGTTCCTCTGATCTTCTTTATGCACGAAATGCAATAACAGATGATGCTGACAACATATACGTCTTGGATTGCGAATCAAGTAACATACATAAACTTACATCTACTGGAAATTTAGTTGACATTTTATGGGACGAAAGTTTGTCCGAACCTTATGTATTTTGTTTTAGTAAGGACTTTTCTAAAATCTACATTGCAAATAAAAAGGGAAGAACAGTGTCAGTATTCAAGAAAAACTAGTACCTGCAATATTTGTATGTTTATTTTTTAAACATGATTTTAGGGCACTTAGCAATTTCCATAATATTTTTACAGAACTGTTTAAAGAATAATAGTTTTTTTCCCTTTTACTTATAAGGTTTAACTGTTTTATAATGTTTGCATTGTGTATATTGTTGTATTGTTCATTTGGTTGTCGACCAAGTTCGAGACCATCTCCGCGCGAAATTCAAAATTTCATATTCTTATGGCCATCTGGTTTCAATTTCGGGACAGTGACGTCTGCATATAATACACTGATTTAGCGATGGTAGATAACTATACTTCCAAACTTGATTTTTAGACAAATTTTGGTGTCAAAAATTTCGTTAATAGCAAAGTTTGACACAAGGTTTGTTTTAGTTTTTATTATAGAGATCTAATAACATAAACGGTACCAATTGTTTTGCACCAGATGCGCATTTCGACAATCAATGTCTCTTCAGTGATGCTCGAGGCCAAAATATTTGAAAACCCAAAGCTTATTAAAAAGATGAAGAGCTATAAAACAAAAAAGGACAAATAAGTATAAACAAAGCCGGACAAGGAATCAGAGCTTTGCATGAGGGAGATATATTCCTTAATTTTTAATAATTTCAAAAATTTTGTAACAGCAAATTTTAATAACACAAAATCCGTATTTTCATGCCAGTACCGAAGTACTGGCTACTGGGCTGGTGATGCCCTCGGGGACTATCAGTCCACCAGTAGAGGCATCGACCCAGTGGTAATAATAACATCAACGGTACCAATTTTTCTGCATCAGATGCGCGTATCGACAATCAATGTCTCTTCAGTGATGCTCGAGGCCAAAATATTTGAAAACCCAAAGCTATAAACCAAAAAAGGAAAAAAGTATAAACAAAGCCGGACAAGGAATCAGAGCTTTGCATGAGGGAGACATATTAAATATACGACTTGTTATTGAAAAATTCAATTCCAATAAGGGTATAAATTTATTTAAAATCTAAAACTGAATACAAATATTGATGGGTATTTCGAATTCATGTCTTCCAAAGAAAAAAATTTTCCTGAAAAAAGGTTTGCCTACATGTACTTGTTCAAATAAAGTTTGTTCATTCGCTCTTTGTATAATACAATACAATACCATTTTAGAAGTATACTGTAATACTCCAAACTCGGTTTAGCTAGTGCCCACTTTCAATCTATTTATGCTAGCAGTGAGCAGCAGAGACATTCAGTACCCACCCTTGTCATATACTATATACATCAACAAAAAAACATTTATATATATATTTTTCCACATAAAATAAAACAATTCTATGGTTAATGTAAACTGATTGCTTTCACAATATTCATAGTTACATCATTAGGAGAATATATCTCGAGTTAATCAAAAAACCTACGTTAAAACATAACTGTACTTCGGTAAATCATTATAAATGGTAAAAACCTCAAAAAAATTATAACTGGTCCCTCCTGAGAATCATGAACCCAAGCAAACTAAATGCAGGTTCTGTGACACAAATGTACAATATTATAACATGTTCAATATGAACACAAGGCTACCGATCTATATAACCCAAAAAGACATAAGTGTGATAATCATTCAGATTTTGTTCGTTTACTCAGAACTCATACCTTATGTATTTTATGTGTCCTATATCTGTCTTTATTGATTAAAAAATAACTCGACTTCTTCTGACAGAAGTATCTGCTCAAACAGTCTAACTGGTTGAATGTAGACTGTGAATTAAAAAAAAAATTATCTGTCCATCAATTAATGACATAAACACAACCACGTACAAATATTTATTAACAGACATAATATAAACAAATTGATATGTTGGTAAGTGTTAAAATAAGATGATGTGGTATGATTGATAATGAGACAATTCTCTACTAGAGAAGGAATACCGTAGAAGTTACAGACTATATTTCACCGTACACATACGTCCTTCAATAATGAGCAGTAGTTTCCCACCCTTGTTAAACCTCATGTAAAGATGATAAAATAAAGTTGACAAACAAAACGTTAGAGAATCGCATTAAATACAAAAGCAGTGAGACAGGATTTGTAGGCAGTTCAAGTGTCTACTGATATGCATGCACCACACATCACACATCATGCGAATGCACACTCAGTCAAAATGTCACAAATAGTAATAGGATGCAATCGTTGAAACTACATATGCACAAATTGTCTGGTATGAAAAGAACTAAGACTACGAACATCAGTTGATAGAGGATTGCTGCTCAAAAGGAAGCTATTAAACCAAGAGTTCCAAATGGTGAAGTTGAAATCATCCCTTCGTAAATTTTACAGACGCCATCACGAGTTGGTTGACCGTTATGGAATAACCGTTTGTAATGATATCGGATATGTTCATTATGTCGTAACTACAATACCCTTCCCTTTTCACGAATGTGACCTACCGAATTAGACTATTTACAGGATTTGCAACACGACGGGTGCCACATGTGGAGCAGGATCTGCTTACCCTTCCGGAGCACCTGAGATCACCCCCGGTTTTTGGTGGGGTTCGTGTTGCTTAGTCTTTAGTTTTCTATGTTGTGTCATCTGTACTATTATTTGTCTGTTTGTCTTTTTATATTTGGCCATGGCGTTGTCAGTTTGTTTTCGATCTATGAGTTTGACTATCCCTCTGGTATCTTTCGTCCCTCTTTTGATATATAGATATATCGCATTGCGAGGATACCCGTAAATTGCAGTCGTTCTTCCTGTAACTATGCCGAAGCAGTTTTTGTGTTAGGATCATATTTCTACCAATGACGTCCGCAAGTAGATGCAAGAGTTCAAACTTACCAATTAAGATGTGTAAGCGCCATATGACGAAACAAAGGGTATGTTACTGCTGAGAAATCAGAAGTTAACAATTGGAAAGTTTAATTATCATGCTTGATAGTTTGAAGTCGCACATCTGTATCCGTATCGACGAAAAGGCCATGATATGAAACAGACCTCTTATGTTCGGTTGTTTCCTCAATCTGAAGTTAACTTGGATATATTGAATTCAAGCACTCACTGGAATGAGGATCATTCAGTAACAAGACACAATCAATCTGAAAGTGAAATTAAAGAAATTTGTCAAAGGATTTCTTTTTATGGTTGTGAATACATTCTGTATTCTATGGATACAAAACAAGTCGGCCAGTAGGGGTGCACAACTAGTACCCATAAGTCCGGCATTTTTATGATATCATCTTTCAAATTGGTGTATTTTCTACGGGCATCATTGCGGTTTTTTCACAAAACAAGATTTTCCATGACCCAAAAACGAAGAATTTAAATTTAAGTTCTCGTTTTAGAAGAACAAGCTGTATTTAATGAGGCAATGGCATCCATCTTACACTTTAGCACGAGGAATAGTAGTGTGAAGTGTAGAAAAATCGAACGTTTTAATATTACTATTTGCTACTGTATAATACTTTCTACTTTTCTACCCTTTATACAAGTATTCCCTATTCATAGCATAAAGAGAAATTGACAGATTTGGTCTTACTGTTTTTCATATTTTGCGAAATTGAAATGGCATTTAGACGAATCTCGTTCAACAATGATGATTCCTTATGAAATATTATTCTTTTCGTATTATTTGAGTTTGTCCAATCTGAGAAACTACATTTTAGCCTTGCTCACATTTTTCAATCAATGTTATCATAAGAATTAACTGTGTTGGTACATCTCCCGCCAAACCATAGGTCCATGTTTAGTGCAAGAGTTATTGTCATGACAAAGTAGTTGTTTCTAAACTACGGATTTATGTCCTTGTGTGCTTACTGAAATATTGCTATCATAGAATGAAACTGGTTGTTATACGCAATTTATACTCATGCATATTTGTCAGTGTTATGAACGCGTGTTCGAGATACGTGAAATGTTGGTAATAACGGAAAATGACCCATTTGAATGACATTTGGTTTCTAATGTAAAAAAAAATTGGTAAGTTGAAATTTAACTGTCCCAGAGAACGGCTGTTTTCGTTCTCCTGACCTGTTCATTTCACGTGATGTTTTGTGAATATAGTAAGACCTTAAAGTTAAGCAGTTTTTGGCATTTATTGACACATCTTTCAGTGATATAAGTGTAAAAAGATGGTAAATTCCATTACATTTTTTACTTGACATTGGTGTTTTTGCAGTTAAACAGTTTTATCACAACACTGCCCTATATTGAGAATAGTACTATTGTTATTGAAGCATATGTTTATTGATATTTGTTATTGCTGTCTAAACACTGACATTATGCAAGTTCTTTTAGGTAATTTAGATTGACTGATTTCAGTTAACTTTGAACTTTTTGTAATTAATATATTCCGGCATAAAAAATATTTTAGTTAGAACTCTTTAGTTCAATGTGAAGCCTTTTTCTACAATTACGCTCGGTAGTTTACATTTTTACAATACATACAAAAGAATAGTCAACATAGATACAAATATCTTGTTTAACGGAGGGAAAAGTCGTGTTTTATAAAAAAATCTGATTCAAACAAAAAAATACTCGGTACCCAGCAAACACACAACATTTTAAAAACATTTTTTAAATGTCATATGGACGTCTCTCGCAAAATATTTCAATAAGATATGATTTAAACATAAACAAAAAGTTTATTTTATTGTTTTTGAAGTGTTTTATTTCTAACATTTAAGTAAAATGTTTTTAGAACATTAACAAAATATTATTTGCTAATATCTTTTATTCATGTTCTCAAACATTGTTCTAAAATATCCCGTAGATATTTTATAATATAAAAAAATAATATTTTCTTCAATTGGTATTTTATATTTTAACAACATTTAAAGTAAATATTTTCCAAATATCCAAAAAACATTCTGCAAATAAATGTTTTACAAAAAATATAGTTTTGCTATTTGCATAAAATGTTTTATAACGTAAAATTAAAATGTTTTACATAAAACATCTAAAAAATATCAGCTAAATGTTTTCTATAAAATATTCTGACATACACATTACTTAATAGTCTTACTGATATTTTATTCAACATTTTACGGATATAAAAATAACATTTTATTTAAACTTTATTCAAAACCCCGTTTTTTTTCAGGATAAGATATAATACTACATTTCATCAATATCATGACAAGCAAGATATTGTGGTTGAAATCCTTAATTGATATCTTGAAGATCCTTGAAGTCAGATTTTATTCCTTCTTATATTAAAATTCAAAAGAGTCAACATTAAATTAAGCAATAATGTATTAATAAACAATCACCTTATTTTAATGTTTATTCGTTTCGTTCGTGTATATTTTAGAAATTAAGAAATGAAAACTGTAACTGTACTAAGTTTAATTTTCGTATCGTTTATATGCCTTACGGAAAACCGACCTTTTCCGGAATCGACTTTTGTTTTATCACCGGAAATGATTTTGAAATTTGAATTTAGAAACGAAGACAGGATATCAACAAAGAGAGCCAAGAAAATTGTTTGTTACGCGATATAAACTCACTTGGTAAGAATGATTAATCTGTTAAGATGAAACTTGTGCATTCATTGTGTGTCTTCAATCATAATCGGAACCAAATTACATCTGTTTCTGGAGGTGCGGATCAAGGTTTTGAAAAAAGGGGGGCCCTGCCCAAGGCAAGCAAACGTTTGGAGTGATACTTGTAAATAGTCTATACATTTATCTAATAAGTAGCTCCATAAGGGGGTCGGGGCCCCTAAATCCGCCACTGTTCAAGCATCTACGTACACCAATTATGAATTTGTTCATTGATATAAAAAATTATAAGGATATGTGGCTTGTGTGTTTGATTGCCAATACACCTCATGGCTATTTGTCCGCCATTACTGGCCATGGACATCACAAAAGTTCCTGTAAAATGTTGACGTCATATTAGAAAATATTTGACACCACAATTGAAAGTAATACACCTTATCGCTATTTGTCCGCCATTACTGGACATCACACAACTGTCACAAGTTCCCTTAAAATTTTGACGTCATCATAAAAAATATCTGATGCCACAATGGAAAAGTGATTGTTGTTTGACGTCAAAATTTCAAGCAGGATAGATTCTCGGGTCAAGCGGGAATAGCGATAAGGTGTATTAATGTATGACGTATGCTGACGTAAAAAGTTCAAGCGGGACAGATTTCCAAATACTGAAATAGCGATAAGGTGTATGAGACAGCTATCCACCAGAATTTAAATGACTTGGATAAAAGAAATTATAGGTCACTGTTCGGCTTTCAAAACTGAGAAAATCAATGCAATATAGTCCACTTTGAAGCCTTGACAAACAAATATTAAATTTTTCTCAACACAATTGAAACAAAACAACTAACTGCCTACATTAAATACACATTATGAAAAAGAAATTTGACAGACTTAAACCAACAACAACTATTGCAATAAGCATGACTCAATACCTTGTTTCCGAGGCACACAAACAAGTTACAATAACACTAATATAAGCACCATTTGAATATGGAGATTTTTTTTTCTAATAAAATCAGTGTATGTATGTATTTGCAAAACAGTAAATTAAATTTCCCTTAACAGCTTAATGAACATTACAAAGACTATGTAAGACTTCAGTACAAGCAAGATAATATAAACATACAGAATTACTGTTATTCCATATTTAATTCAAATATTTAGCATAAACAATGCATTACATTCAAAATTTAGGGCATACAATACAGAAAAGATATCTGGATATTTAAATAAATTTTTTTTTTGTGACAAAATAGAAACAAGTTGTTTATTTAAATCTATCTTTTAGTCCAACATATTTGCTTTCTTTTGAAGTATTTCAAATACATGTACATATAAACAACTCATTTAATGACATCTGTGTGTTTCTCGGAAGTTAAGTTATATTATTATCATCATTGCGAAAACAATGCGTAACACTTCGATAAGTTATTATGTGCCTATAGTACACTTCTAGGACTGTATCATATGCCCTTAGATACAAATGACAAGTTTTAAACTATGTCACTCTACATAGTTTAACACTTAAAAAGGACAATAAGATGTTTAATGACATTATGTAGCAGGGCTTTAAAAGGCCCCTACATGATACAATGCATTTAATGAAAACTAAAAAAAAAACAAGAAAAACAACAGCCTGATTTATACAAAACAATAAAAGAAAAAAAATATGATAGACAACAATCAACGAGTATAATGAAATAAGACTCTTGACTTGACACATATCTAGTCTAAAGTTTTTTATGTGTTTTTTTTTAATAACTAAATGAAGTTCAGCGTGGCATATTGCTCTCTCTTAACACGGTCAGCCATTTATCGTCCCCTTCCGACAGACTATCATCGTTATTTGTTTCAAAACTTTAAAGGGGAGGGGATGTATATCCTTCAGGCAACGTGAATCGTTCTATTATAAAGGAATGTGCAAGAAGTTTATATATAAATGTAAGATTAATTTTTTTTCAGAAGCATGGCACAGCAAGAAAAAGATATAAGACACTACAAGACATTCCAAGTGATTTTGAATAAGACAATTTTTTGCGTTTTAGCGATATATATTCTACCATACATTTAATGTTTTTCTCACGTTTTTTTGTGATATTTTCATGACTTTAGACACAACATTTTAAAAACATTTTAAAGATGTTTTTGTGTTTGCTGGGTAGCTGATATCATAAAGATCCATGGGAACCAACTTTATATAAGGCAGACTACATTAAGAAAATAGAATTAAAAGAAGCTAGCATTGTCCTTCAACTTCACGTTCCGCTATATGTGCTCTTATTTAATAATTCAAAGGTTTGTGACTATATTAAACGCATCTATCACATCGAACTTGAAATACAGGATGCAACAGATACAGTTAAAACTGCCTTATATCTAAACTTACATCAATATATTTACAATGATGGTGGTCGAAAACGAAAACGAAACTTAACGATAAAAAACCAAAGGTTTCAAATTGTGAAATTTAAATCGAAAGTTGGTTGATTATAAAATATCTGCTTGACAGATAACGACGGATATGTTACAATTGTCGTAACCATGACGTTGTCTTCTTTTCCAGGAACGTGACATTACCGAATTAGACTTGTCACATGAGCATATGGAGCAGGGTAAGTTTACTTTTCCGGAGCACGTGAGATTACCTCCAGTTTTTGTAGTGGTTCTTGTTACTTAGTCTGCAGTTTTCCATTGTTTTTTGTATGCTGTTGGTTGTCTATTGGTCGTTTTCGTTTTGTAATGACGTTGTTACCTGTAATCAACTTATGACAAATGTATTAAACTAAGATTAAATATTCTTTTTGTAAACCCCGTCTCTTTATTGTACAAATACTTACAATTTGTTTGCCTATATTACAGTTTGATTTAAGAAATTTTGTCTATCACAACATTAATAGTTTAGTCATGAGCGATTTAAAGAATTCAACTTCTTCAGTTTACATTTTGAATTAAAGTGATTTATTCTTAAAAAACCATTTGCAATATATCTGACAAATTTTCCGATTTCCTGTTTTGGAGATTTTATGATAAAAATCTGACCTTTTGCTTTAAAATCTTTATTGTATTTGTGAACATTTGTCAGTTTTCTCATTCGGTTATGTTTCTGATATTTCACATAAATTTACACATGACAACATTTTCGATTTCCCTTTTTCGGGAATTTTATGATAAAAAGCTTACTTATGGCCTCAAAGTACTGATCTCTGGTCATGAAATTTGGACAGTTTCTTATCATTTCTGTGGTGTTGCAAATAGAGGTACATTGCAATAAAAGGTGTTACTTTGTTAATGACATGAATATCAAAATATCGAGGTTTTCGTTGAATTAAAAAAAAAAACATGATTTAACCAAACTCGATCATTATCATTATCGTTGTAGTCTTTTAGTGTTTCACATATGATGACATCCCGGACACAAACACACTCAAGTAGTTTCCGGTGTTATTTTATTGATTTGTAAGCTTTTTCTTAATAGATGATCTGGACTAACTGAAACACGCATATAAAAGTAGGTGATTTGGTATAATTATTTATATTTTTTTCATAAACTACACTTTCTTAGAATTCAGATACTAATAATTCAAAGACAGACATGTTATGTTATATTTGTATTTCTCTAACCATTAAGTTGTAAACTTTGATTTACCAATGCATCATTGAACAAAGACAATTTGGTTATTAAAACTTCTACAATACCTTCTAATTAAGAAAAGGCTTTAATTTTGAAAAGATATCAACCCTATAGTTTAAGTTAGAGACATAATGGATAGATTGAAAGAAGCAAAATTAATCGGCAAAATAAAATCTACAAATTAGTTAGCATAGCCGGAATCATCAGTTGACTTTTTATTTGAGTTATTGTCCGTAAAAGTCGATTTTTGTCCAGATGTTATGTTTTTGATTGAGACCTGAGTAGATAAAGAGAAACCAGATATATAAAAAATTCAGCAAAATATATTATCAACTTTCAAAATGACCAAAATTGTCAGTTGATTCCTTAAAGAAGATGAAGTATCATTTCTGACCAATTTAAGTGATTTAACGTTATTCCATGTATCTTTAAAAATATAATGAATAGTCTGAAACTTTGAACAGGAAATATGATCAAGCAACATTTTAAATGAATCAACATGAACGAATCGTCAATCGACTCTTTTCAAAATATTTTTTTCAAAACTTAGTGTCACTTCCGATTCAGGAAAGATGATCAGCAAGAAATGAGTTTGGTCCACATAGTTTCCATTCAATAGCAAATTCATATTGTATTGTATTAATTTTATAAAACAAAGTGCAAGATGAACGTGCCAATAATACACAGATTTTGATTTTTAGAAACAAACCATTTATAAGTTGTCATTAATAGGACGTCGTATCATTTTATTCAAATTAATGTTGAGGTAAAACATGTAAAAAATGGAGATATGATATATGAAATAATGCATACTGATGAGAGGACAATCAATGGTAAAAGAAACAACGCAAGAGGAGATATTTCAGATGGGTTTAGATTTGGTGTGTTGAAAAGAAGTCATTTCGGGAAAATGCATTAATCTTTTTTGAAACAGTCAGAAACGATTTTAATAAAACCAATTGCGTCTGGCTGTGCGTTTGATTTTTGTCCACGTTTATTTTTCTTACTACAATTATTAAGCATTTGAACATTTAAATTACGTAACCGACGTGAATGAAACGTGAACATTTTTGTATTAATTACACACATAGTTACTAGTGTGTTTTGTTCGAGCATCATGAACTTCGCCAAATGGATCTGATATGTTCGATTGTTGGTAATTATTCAACAAAATCAAGTCGACAACGTGTTAACGTGACTTTGATAAATACCTTCTTTTGTACTAAGTCAACATGGTTAGGAGCATTTTTATCTGATTCGTTGGTTCACAAGTGGTAAACGAATCAATATAACAGCATATTGGAACATCTCAGTCCACCTTGACCCAATAATCATACTCCGAGCCTACCAATTTTTGTTCCTATTCCTACATGCATATCATTTAAGCAAATTGAAGTACGGGCAATAAGGATTAAAATCGGTCTTATTTTCATAAAAGAACAAAGGAACTATGGAGTTTAATGTAACTCACTAAAATATTCATTCTTATGCACACGTAAAGAAAACAGTCATCTGTTGGACGAAAAGCACATTCACTGACGTCACAATAGAACCACGAAAATGACCATCATATTTTTAAAAATGGCATGGAAAACAATGTTATTAAAATTTCGTTTGGAAAAGTTGTTCAAGTAACAGTTGTAGTAAAAAGATAGGTCGAAAGAAAGGAAATGAAGTTCTTTTTCGTTAGTTTTCTTAGTGGGAATTATTATGCAATAACTTTTAAAAAAGAAAAAACAAACACGACCATACACCTCAAGCGGTGGAAACGTAAACGGAGTCCGATAAGCAAAATCTGAAAATATAATTAAAAGAAAATATATATATGTATTGTGTACGTATATCAATTCATAAAATTAAGGTAATGACGAGCGCATTCACCATAAGAGCAAATAGAAATCTTTGTATTTCACAAGGGACTCTTTGAAGTTCGTTGAGTTAACAAATGTCATGAATATTTCAGCTGTTTGTCTGTAGTTTTGTTTGTTGATAATATTGAGCATTTATTTCTATCATTGACCTTTTTACAGTAAGCATCTAAAATTATTTGTTTTGATGCAAAATATTAAATATCATTTTTTTTTAAACAGAAAATAAATTGTCATCGTTATGATAAAATTTTGGTCTCTTTGGAGCAAACCAGCGATTTTGCCAAAATAAATTGCTATCTTTACGAACATATTTTGGTCTCTAGGGAGCAATTACAATGATTTTGCTAGGAAAATTAAATAAATGTGTTACACTTTAACAGGCAGATATGCCTCGTAAAACATGTTGAAAATGAAATATAAATATACTAAAGATATAAATTTAATATATTTATTAAGTTTATCGCACCTATTATACTAGTTGCTAGGCAACAATTTATACGCGTAATTTCTAAAATATCACCAAATACCTGTGGTATAGAGTTACAACATGACAAGTAAATATAAATTTGATGGGGCCAAACACAGCCCTTTTAATGCTTTTTTTACACTTTTTGTCCGCTTCTCTGCACTACGAGCCTTTGATCTGGTGATGATTTACTCTTTTAAATTTAATTCATGTAGAAAATAACATAAATTGCTTAGTTTGAAATTATTTTTATTGTAGAAATATGGCAACCAAATATTGCGAACCGTGCACGTGGTAGGAATCCTACAGCATTCAGATGGTGTTCCGAATGTGAAGAAGCGCTGTGTTCCGAATGTACAGAGGCTCATAGATTTCAAAAAATTACTCGAAATCATCATTTGGTAGAGATAAGTAAAATACCGGAAAGAATTAATATATCCTATAATTGCCCAAAGCATCAACATTTACCTTTCGACTATTTCTGTGTCGATCATGATGTAATATGTTGTAAGGAATGTCTGTCCCAAAATCATCGAGCATGTAAAAACGTCACATTCATTGAACGAGCATCAAAGAATTCTAAACAGTCGCAGTCGTTTATTGATTCAGAAAAACAGCTGGGCTTTATTTCAGAAGCTTTGAAAAATTTGAACAAGAGTTGCAAGGAAAATGATAGTCGAATACACCAACAAGAAACCAACATTCGGAAACAAATAGCGACAGTAAAAGAGCATATCATCAAACTTTTGGAATCTTTAGAGCAATCGCTTCTAACACAACTAACTGAAATGAAAAACAAAAACTTAAACAGGTTAAAACGACAGGAGAAAGATATAGTTGACTTGATTACATCTTCAAAAGCTGAAAAGGAGGCAATGGAATTTGTAAAAAATGACGGTTCTGATAAACAAACGTTTCTTTCAATTCATTTATCCAAACCAGTTTTAGATGAAATTGAAAACAAGGTTAAGCAGCTAAGTGATTCGTTTGTAGAGACCAGTCTTATATTCGTCAAAAGCGTCCTTAAGGAACAAATAACAGATCTCGGATCAATACAATTAAAGGAAACCCCCTGTTCTTTTTCATTTGTCCCGTACAAGCTGTGCCAGTCACAGGTTCCGGTCGTTCCTAAGTGCCAGACCACCACCTTCACTCATCTATACGACATCGACATGGAAGGGATAATCATGATAGGAGTATCTGGTATCACTATATTAGACGATAAAAGATTGGTTTTCTGTGATGTAATTACAAGCAAAGTACATGTTTGTGATGAAAATGATGTATATCAATACTCAATCCGCTCTCCGTATGCACCATGGGATATAGCAGCAGTACCAGGAACAACAACGGCTGTTATGTCTTCCAGAAATGAACCGTACATACAGTTCATAGATTTAAAAAGACGTAGAATTTTAAAGCAGATAGAAGTGCATCAAAGTGGAGGTTATGGTATTGCTGCAACAAAAGATTACATATTTGTAGGTACTGAAAAAGAGATACAGGTCCTAAACAGGAGTGGAAACTTAAAAAGATCAATCCGTTTAAAGCACGGACAGGGTCCTATTGGAAATATTTCCATTGGTCTAAATGGGAACATATATTATTCAAACAACGATGAAGTATATTGCTCTACATTAGATGGAGATTTGGTTTTTTCCTATTCGTCACCTCGCCTTCGTGGACCACGTAAAATACATGATGCTGGAAACGTGTACATCTTAGGACTTTGTTCACAAAATATACATCAAATTACATCTACTGGAAGTTTTGTAGACGTATTACTGGAAGACAATATGTCCGAACCTTTTGGTCTTTGTTTCAGTTAAGACTTTTCTAAGGTTTACATTGCAAACAGAAGTGGTAAAACAATGTCAGTGTTCAAGATAAATCAGTAACTTTTTTTTTCCTCAAAACCAATATTATTTTGAATAAATAGTACACAATCACAACAAAACCGTGACAGTAAAAATAAACTTTTAAATAATTCATATGTTTTATTAGCAGTTTGCCATTTCTTTATAACATGCAAACATATAGAAAAGGTTACCTTTTCATTGAACGTTGAACTGTGGTAGATTTGCAGCAAACGTAAATGTATTAGATGAAATCTTAAAATGTTTAGGGAATTTTTCGAATACTGTTTAAGTGATTAGCTTGCACATATATATATTCAATTGATGAGCTTTCAGAAATAGTACAATATTAACAGCCTTTCGAAGTAACCGATTAAATGTATTTCACGCCTGTCCCAAGATGTATCAATTGCTACATTTGATATACATCTAATATTCTCATTAAACGTTGAATGCAAGATACCTTAGATGTACATATGATTCTGGAATTCTGAATGGCTGATAGCTTGATGAATTGACGTTGAATAACAGGATTAAACAAGTCGGAATTTATCCACCAAGACTACTATCGATTTAGTTGTATGTAAATGTATCAGATGAAAGCTTAAAATGTTCAGGGAATTTTTCAAATACGGTTTGAAAGGGATTAGATTGCATATATATATATATATTCAATTGATGAGCTTTTAGAACATGTACAATAGCAATATCTGCCGAAAGAGCCTGTTCCAACATCTTATAACTTGTAAAAAAAGTGCATGTTGATTATTCCAGATTCCATTTATTAAGGATATAAAGTTTTTTGTTTATGAAATATCAAACTATAATTGAACTTAGAGGGAAAGAACACAAAACATTTATGAGTTAGTGTATCTTTCGGAGGTCGATTGTAATTTACGTATTTACTACAAGGTTCTTGTAGTTTCATTAGAGTAAAAAAAGTGTTGATCGTGAACACATTTGTTATATGTCGTATTGAATTCCTTAGAGGAAATCTATTAACAAGGAAAGAGATCCGATAAAGTTCCAAGGGATTTAATTCTTGGCGTGACGTTATGATTAAAATTCTATAAAATGCTACTTTCGTCTGGACGACATGCGTGTTGTAGTTTTCCGTAATAAACAAAAATTCGCTTGAACGATATTTCGTGTAAACGATGCCAACATTAATGTTTCTCATACAAGCTAATATCTATGCCATTAATTAGTAAATTTAATTCTCACATTCGGAATGAGAAGTACACGATGCAAAACTGCAAATTATTTGGCCCTGATCATTGATATTGCTCTTACTCTTTGGTTTATACAAAAAATATATTAACTAACAAAATTAAGCTGTAAGGAAAACATTTTGATTTTAATTGAAACTTTTACACCCCTCCTTTTTGTCCCCTAAAAAATACTAGTCATTACAAGGAGAAATGATGGCAATATAATAGTATAAAACAAACTGAGGTTGAGCCAGTTTTCCGTAAATTTATTTCACACTGAAGGCCTTTTTTAAAAAGCATTTGAATCTGTATAAAAATTCACATCATTACAGCTTTACTTTAAGGTTTCTATAAAATTACGTGATATATCTTAACGTGTATTTTACAGATTTCAAATTGTTAAAGTGGCTTCCTTTAGATTTTTTTAAAAGAGGAATATAAAGACATAAAACTAAAACCAAAGTTAAACGAGTAGGGTAAGTAACATGTCCCGTCTTTAAGATTGAAATTGAAACATTTTTGCTAAATAAAAAAAATATGAATAATTTCAAAATCATTGTAAAGTTTTCTTCCGCTGTATATTTATATATTTCACCCGAATAAGTTTGATTTTATGGGTATGTGTAATTCTTGAAAAAAAATATATTAGTAAAAAGATGTTTTTGAGTATGTCAATGAAACAGCAGTCCCCCAACCAAAACAAATAAAAAACCTTCTAGAGGTAAACATATGGTCTTAAACAATACATGAGTGTGTACACAGTACCTGTATGTCTAAATTTACCGCGTGGGTATAAAAATTAAGCCGTAAAGAAATCCCAGATTCGGAACTAACTACCCGAAACGTTGCTCACTGGAACATGAACACTATTATAGTTATACAGCTAAAGCACTCGACTCTATATATACTATGCGGCGGGGTTAAACATGTTTTGTGAGATCTCAACCCTCCCCTTTACCTCTAGCCAATGTAGAATAAAGAAACACATAGCAATACGCACAGTAAAACTCAGTTCAAAAGAAGTTCGAGTCCGATGTCAGAATAGGTAACAAAAGAAACTAAGCAAAATGACAATGATACATTTCGATATCACAAACTAGTCAAAACATTTACTAAATTTTATCATCGGTATAAGGACATCATTCGTAAATATAGCTCAACATGCAGACTTCTTATACGTTCAGGTATTTTACATCCAATTTTTTATGGAAATATTCCTTATAAAGCACAAAAATGTCAGTATTCACCTCTGAAGCTAACAAAACCTTTAAATAGACTTATTAAGAAGGGATATAGTTATGATACTGTTGTCAGGTCATTATAGATTGCATATTTTGGCGTTAATATTGATTCACTTATAGGGTCTTTGCATCGGCACTAAACACATTTATTTAAAAACCAGTTGTTGGCATGTCACGGGTTATGTTCTTCTCATATATGTTATGATGGTATGATACTAAACCCCTAACGGGAAGGATTGTGCCTGATATTCATATGATGGAGACATAATCTTTCAATCAGTTTAATTGAAGTCTGGATCTGGCATGTCAGTTAACTGCTAGTAGTCTGTTGTTATTTATGTATGATTGTCATTTTGTTTATTTTCTTTGGTTACATCTTCTGACATCAGACTCGGACTTCTCTTGAACTGAATTTTAATGTGCGTATTGTTATGCGTTTGCTTTTCTACATTGGCTAGAGGTATAGGAGGAGGGTTGAGATCTCATAAACATGTTTAACCCCGCCGCATGTTTGCGCCTGTCCCAAGTCAGGAACCTCTAGCCTTTGTTAGTCTTGTATTATTTTTAATTTTAGTTTCTTGTGTACAATTTGGAGTTTAGTATGGCGTTCATTATCACTGAACTAGTATATATATTTGTTTAGGGGCCAGCTGAAGGACGCCTCCGGGTGCGGGAATTTCTCGCTGCATTGAAGACCTGTTGGTGACCTTCTGCTGTTGTCTGTTCTATGGTCGGGTTGTTGTCTCTTTGACACATTCCCCATTTCCATTCTCAATTTTATAAATGAACAAAGGACTACTAACAGTTACTGACATGCCAGCTCCAGACCTCAATTAAACTGATTGAAAGATTACGTCTTCATCATATGAAAATCAAGTACAATCCCTCCCGTTAGGGGTTTAGTGTCATACCATCATAAAATATATGAGAAGAACATAACCCGTATCATGCCAATAACTGGTTTTAGATTAAATGTGTTTATTTCCGATGCATGGAACCTATGTGTGAATCAATATTAATACCAAAATATGCAATCCTTAATGACTTGACAACAGTATCGTAACTATATCCTTTCCGAATAAATCTGTTTAAAGGTTTGGTTAGCTTTTGATGTGAATGCCGACATTTTTGTGCTTTGTGAAGAATATTACCATAAAATATTGGATGTGAAATACCCGAAACGTATAAGATGTCTGCATGTTGATTTATATTTACGAATGATGTCCTTGTACCGATGACAAAATTAAGTAAATGTTTGACTAGTTTGTGATATCGAAAACGCTGGTGTAATAATTTTTCTGTAATACTGAGATTTCTTTCGTTGAAATCAAATACGTTGTTACATACAAGAGCGAATTGAACAAGTTGAGATATATAAACACCATAAGATGGTGACAAAGGAACTTCACCATCTAAAAATGGATAATTAACAATAGGAAATGAAAAATCATCTCTTTTCTCATAAATTTTGGTATTAAGCTTCCCGTTAAAGATATAGATATCAAGATCCAGGAAAGGGCAGTGTTTATTGTTAGTATTAGCTTTATTTAAAGTCAGTTCGGCAGGATAAATCTCTTTAGTGTACATGCTGAAGTCGTCATTATTGAGAGCCAATATATCATCTGAATATCTAAAAGTGTTATTAAATTTTTGAATCAGATGTTGTTTCGATGGGTCTTTGCTGATTTTAGTCATAAATTGTAAATTGTAACTCATAACAATACAGAAACAGTTCCGCAATAAGTGGTGCAAGTTAGTCCCCATGAGAATTCCGATAACTTGACGATATACGGAATCTCCATAGCGAATAAAAATTCAAGGGCAGTTATAGTATCAAAGCAGGTTCAATTGACATAGTTCTTTTGTTTGTTCTTACTAAAAAATTACCTTAAAGAGTTTGAACATATATATTCGCATTCCGACTTTTTAAATGCCCATTTAATCAGGTGTGTGAATTTTTTCTTAAGAAGATTATGAGGCAAAGTGGTATATAGGGTAGACAAATCAAAACTTTGAACAGATTCGAAATCACCAATATAAGCATGCAATTTATCAAGTAGTTCCAACGAATTTTTGACACTCCAAAAGTAATTAATTCCACTATTTTCAAAGGCTTTATTTGAACAATTTATTACCAGGTTTTTTATTGTACCAAGTGTACTAGTAAGTATAATAGATAGTTTGGTAGTGGAACTGTATTATTTCTAACGCCTTCTTTTAAGAATGATAATGTATAGTTCAATAAATTAAATTTTACAATTGATTTACCCCTAAATTGAAATATAGATATAGTGTTTTTATTACTCTGAAAAAAAGAAAAGTTTTTAAGCTTGTATGACAATAGTTTATGAACATAATTGATTGAATATCTTTGTTCATTTGTAACTAATGACAAATGTAACAACACATTTACTAGTGTTGCTTCTTATTTCTTAAAAAATATCAATACTTATCCTAGAACAGTACAGTGTGTATATATATAAGAACAATCATAAGACGACAAGGTATGTCGGAAAAAAACAAGTGTATATGGAAAATTTGCTAATCCAAGGCTTGTAAGTCAATCACGTACAAGAGGGCAAATTGAATAAATTCATAACTCACTATTGTGCAACTACATAGCTTAAAGAGAAGCGAAAGATACCACAGGGATATTCAAACTCTTTAGTCGAATACACGCAGACAATGTCAAACAGAACACAAAAAAAAAAACAAAAAAAAACAAAGAACAAACAGTATAGAAAATATCAAACAGTTTCCATTCGTTTTACTAAGAACCACATGGCCGATTTTAAGTTCTAATTTGTCGATTTGCAGTTTTTTAAAAGCTATTCTGTACGTTTGGTATGCTATCTTGATGTTATCTCTTTATGTAGACGTTAATTAATACCCATCAACAAGTTATCAATTATAGATCTATGTTATGTTAGCAAATGTCATTGAATAAACTAAAAGTGATTTTGATTACAAAAAATAAAATGAATTATTTGAACTTTGTACATAAAGGAGGAAATATGCACTGCATATGTTATTAAATCATGTATCCCGTTTAATATAAAACATACGTACGTTGTAACGGATAAGCGAATGTTTTAATTTTCGTAATACCTAAACAATTTTCCTTAAAGTCATAGGAAACGAGTTTCTTCTAATTTTAATGTTATCGAAATTATTGAACCAATGCATGCATATATACTAAACTCTAAGTGCTGTATCAATCTTTAACTTATTATGGACACAAAATATTTCATTCAGTGGTTGTGATCGCAAGATAACTAACTTTTGATTTTGTTGCCGAAGTTTACCGGATTGTTACATTAATAAACAGTCATCACTGGGCACGTGGAGCACGTGACAAATAAGTGAATTGATAGAGCCAAGATATTAGTTTTTGATATTTTCCATGCGTTCCCATTTGTTAATTAAACTTTTCCTTAACAGTTGTTAAATGATTTGTTTTATTAAATTTCTTTAAGAATCGGTTATTTCTATTTACCTTCCAATGCACATTAACATTCTTTCATCTTGGTTTCCCCCCTCGCACTTGCACTGTGCGGTGGTCGAAGTTCTAACTAGAGGTCTCGTAGTCAAGGTCACTGCATACGGAAAATATTGGCGAATTGGTGTACGAGAAGACATTAACTCAAAAATAGTACATTTATGTACATTTGGATGATATAAAAAAAAATCTTTTACAAGACAGTTCACGTGGACATGTTTTATAGTAAAGCTTAGCCATTTAAGTATTTAAAACATATTCAACTTTTTTTTTTAGATTTGAAGTTGATATGACTTTATTAACAGAATAATAAAGAGAAGTATTTAAGATACATTTTTTTTATAATTCCGGAAATCAGTCTTATTCTTTAAATAACTTGAAATAAGCAATATAAACCTGAAAAATGACGGATATTTTTAAATTTCAGTTGTTACAAGGCCAAGCTATTCATTTTTATTACCCATAGAATGCATAGGGAAATATACACATTGTAAGAAGGTGCCAAAGGTGTATTCTCGTCGTAGAGAACGAAGAACAGTCTCTTTTGCTGAAAATGTTAGTATAGAGTTTCAAGCGTGACACTAGATATCCAACTGACGATAGGGACAAATATTGCTGTTTATATCATACTTATTTAGGGTCAGTACCGCAATATGAGAGTATTTGTATATGTATATTTAAAGCAACAGTTTCAACAAAGTAATTGCAAGTGTGATAAGATTTGCTGTTATATCACATTTAGATGAACCTCCACCAAGTTTGACCACAAACTGTAATTCATAACGGTGCAGGAACAGTTTAGCTATTAAAATGACACAATTGGTGTCTTTATGAATACTTTCAGGTTGAACTTTGTAAATACAGCTGTTTCAAAAACCACGCCTCTTTTGGGGAGATATATAATATTCATAGATATTTTGTTTTATTTACCTACTGGTTCCCGAACATGATCTTTATTTTTCATTTCGTAGAGAAATAACTTTGGAATGTTACCAGTATAAATACACAGGGATAGCTGCTAAATTGAATTCTGAGGAAGACCTAAAGTGAAGGGAGAGGTAGTACAGAATGTTAGTATTAGTTTAAACCCTTAGAAGTTCGGGTCATATAAATGTTGAAAATATGCCGCACAGCCCTATATTTTTACCTTTGAAAAAAATAGTAGTGCATATAAGCTTTCCATTCTAGGATGTAATTTTTGACGAAACTTTATAGTAAAAGTGGTACAGTTTTAGCCGTAAATTTCCTATGGGAAATTGCATTGTCTATATTTACAGAAGTACAACCTACACTTTGTCTATATATGACGAAACGTAAATATATGTTGTGGACCGAGATTGAATGGACGATGAAAAGCATGTAAAATATCAAAAACTTCCTACCACTTCTACATTGTTGGCTTCTTTGTCGGCTGATATTCATACAAAACGCTTTTCAATTATTTGAAGTTATGTCTAATCCTAGAATTGGACATGTATGTTAATTTTCTAAATGTTTTAAAATTAGAACAAAATTATTTTTATCGGAATTCTCGTTATTTGTTGCCACTCTTACCAATTTATTTTGGATGGTGGACGAAATATGATCCTTTATTCTTATCGTTGTTGATGGATGTCGTGGTTCTCTGTTTGCTTTATGTCTTTTTTCGTTTTTTTTTTTTGTCATAGGGTTCATATCTAATTTCACACTCTTATGTTTTAAGAGGATCATTTTCTTTGCTGACGACTGATGTAGCAGATGCATAATGAAATTGGACTTTCTTTGTGTCTATGTATAAGTATTACATATGGAAGACTTTCGGAAAGTGTTCATGTTTCAGAGATAGTCCAATGAAGAATGAGTTATAAATGTTACATCTAAAATAGTTATTGTAAATCATTAATATTCAATAACTGATTGAACATGTAGGACCATATTTGGTTTCTATCAAAACGGGTACGGATAGTATGCTTCATTTGATAAAATAGATACATCCTTGAGATCTGCGGCAATATTTTTAAATGGAAACATTTTGTAAAATTTTTAAAAAGGAATCGTCTGTCTTGGATATCATAATATTTCATTAATCAATATACATTTTGAAAAAATCATTCAGTTGATTTGCAAATTATCTGACAAATTTCCGGATTCCGGTTTTCGGAGATTTAATGATCAAAATCTTACTTTCTGTCTCAAAATTAATATTTTTGTTTATAAATGCCAGTTTCCTTATACGTTATGATTGTGATCTTTCAGATAGATTTACATTTGACAACATTTTCAATTTCCTTTTTTCGGAGATTTATGATAAAAATCTTATTTTTTTCCTCAAAGTATTAACTTCTGGTCATGAAATTAGTCAGTTTCCTCATATAATAAACATTTTTGTGTTGTTTCAAACTGAGTGTCATTTTAATCAAATACATTGCTCCGTAAATGAAAACAACATTTGAATTCCCAACTTTTCATTGATTTTATAAACAATAATCTTTAAATCAAACGTCATCTATTTTCACCACTATTATCGTCGTAGACTTTTAGTATATCAAACATGATGACATCCCGGACACAAAAATACTCAAGTAGTTTCTGTTGTAATTTTATTAATTTTTAGCATTTTATGAATAAATTGACTGGACTTACTGGTACACGCATATTAAAGTAGGTGAAGTGATATGTAATTATAATATTTCTATAAACTACCATTCTCTACACAACTCATTAAAGATAATTATCTTTAATTGGATTTTATTTTAAGATTTGACATATAAACTTTTCTAAAGAAGCAAGTTTTCATCTCGTTGGAAATTTAACCACTTGAAAGGAATACACCATTCACTATTAACTGCCAGCCTAGGTCAAGCTAGAAACAACCGGTAGATATCGAATATTGAATAATTATTAAAAATGTATTACTAAAATATTAATAAAGAACAACATAAAATGATTCAGTTCATAGATTGAATTTAGGTGTTATAAAATGATGTGAATAATTAGTCCAGAATAAGCATGATAAATATGATCATTAATACAGAATAAAACGAAACACTAACATATAGCAAGTTTGAACTACCAGTCCAGTATGGACGTATGATCTAGTAACATGATATATGACACAAAAGCAAAACTTAATTGTGATAAGTTATAGGTTTAATTAAACATGTTTATTGAATTTGAATGCTGATGAGTGTGTTTTTATAAGACAATGCCAACATTGGTCACTTTCTCAACTGTTGATAAGTAAATGTAGATTACGCCATTAAAGAAGGATCAATTTTGATATGAATCTGGTCCTCAGGAACAATATTTGATCACTAAACCGCTTATTTTTAGTTGATATATATCTCATAATACCTGTCCTTTTTTTGGATTGTTTTGAAATAATTCATTTATATCAATTAAAAAATGAACAAGTACAATGGGAGAATATTCCTGCGCAAGACCAGAAAGATATTATCATGATAAACATATATATTACGAGTGATCTCACTTTTTATCTACTGTAATATACTTTTAAATTGATTGTTTGTGTTAACTCCTGTTTACAAATAAAATTCTAGAGATGAAGTCGGTATAAATATTTTATACTAGGAAATCATCTTTTGTTAAATTAATTTTATCTTTTACACAAAAAGAATAAAATTATAAAATTTGCAATTTCTTTTCATTTCTTGCAGACTTTAAAATCAGAAATATTAATTTCAATCTCTAGTCAATTCAATGAGGTTTTGTGCCTTTTAATATTTATTTTAAAGTTTATAATGACGTCAACAGATGCAGTTAAACAAACATATTCGTTTTATCTATGATGAGTTCATTTACAATCACTGGGTCGATGCCACTGCTGGTGGAAGTTTCTTCTCCGAGGCTAGTCGTCAGCACTTCTGAGTGACATGAATTATCATTGATATGGTCATAATTATAAGTTAAATGTTACAAAATTTTGAATGTTTCGAAATACAAAGGACTTTCTACCTGTGGGATAGACTACCTTAGGTGTATTTTGCAAAACCTTCCCGAATTTGGGTTTTCAGTGCTTTTCCACTTCGTACTTTATTTGGCCTTTCAACTTTTTTATATGTAAGCGTCACTGATGAGTCTTTTGAAGGCGTACACATTTTTTATTCTGGTATCTATGATAAGTTTATTCTATGCCACTTCAGAAAAACTTCGCGTCACATATTTTATTATAATTATAACTTGCTCTTGGATAAATATTCCTTTCTTTTTTTTAGAAAAACTATGAACAAATAACAAGATCTTTCTAGTTTGGAATTATTTTTATTGTAGAAATATGGCATCTAAACATTGCAAACCGTGTAATACTCTAGGATTGACCCAAAAAGCATATCGATGGTGTACCGAATGTGGAGAAGCACTGTGTTCTGAATGTACAGAGTCTCACAAAGATCTAAACATGTCTCGACATCACCATTTGGTAGAGATAGATAAAATACCGAAAACAATTAATCTATCCAATAATTGTTCAAAGCATCAACATTTGCCTTTTGACTATTTTTGTGTTGATCATGATGTAATATGTTGTAAGGAATGTTTGCTAAAAAATCATCCAGCATGCAAGAACATCACATCCATTGATATTGCATCAAAGAATTCTAAACAATCACAGTCGTTCCTGGATTCTGAAGAACAGTTGCGCTCTATCTTAGAAGCTTTAGAAAAATTAATTAACAATCGCAAGGAAAACTGTAGTCGATTAGAACAAGAAGAAACAAAAATTCTGAAACAAATAGCAACAATTAAAAAAAATATCAACAGCCGTTTTGAATCTTTAAAAGACTCACTTCTAAAGCAATTATCCGAACTGAAAGGAAAATACGAAGCAGGTATAAAACGACAAGAGAAAGATCTAGGTGACTTGGTAACATCTACAAAAGCTGTCAAGGAGGAATTGACATTTGTAAGAGATTACGGTTCTGATAAACAAGCGTTTGTTTCAATTCATTCATCCAAACCAATCCTAGATGAGATGGAATACAAAGTTGAGCAGCTAATCGAATCATTTGAAGACGTAACTCTTGTGTTCGTCGAAAACCTCTCAAAGAAAAAAATTACAGATCTCGGATCAATAGAAATGAAGGAAACACCTCTTTCTTTTCTATTCATCCCATATAAGCAGCGGCAGGCACAGGTTCCAGTCGTTGGGAAACGTCAAATTTCATCATTCACCCATCTCTATGACATTGACATGAAAGGAGAAAAGTTGGACGGAGTAACTGGAATGACGATATCAGATAATAACACATTGATTTGCTGTGATTTAAATACGAGAAAGATTTATTTTTGTGATGAATACGATATCTATCAATCATCTATTAAGTCTCCATATGAACCATGGGATATAGCAGCAATACCAGGAACAGATAGTGCTGTTATATCTGGTAGAAAAAATCCTTATATACAGTTCCTAGATACCGGAAGACGTATGATATCCAAGAAGGTAAAAATGGAACAAAGCGGAAGTGGTGGTATTGCTGTAACCAAAGATAACATATTCGTAACAATTCTACGCAAAATTCAGGTCCTAGACTTGAATGGAAAATTGAAAAGAACAATAAGTCTAGAACAAGAAAAGAATATAAATTGGTACATTTCTGTTTGCCCAAGTGGGAACATTTGTTATTCGAGTGAAAATGCAGTTCATTGCATTACATCAGATGGGTGTCCTGTTTTTTCCTATGCTTCATCCGATCTTCGTTATGCAAGAAATACGATAACAGATGATTCTGGCAATATATACGTCTTGGATTACTATTCACGTAACATTCATAAACTTACATCTACTGGAACTTTAGTTGACAATATATTCAATGATAATTTGTCCGGACCTCTTGTGTTTTGTTTCAGTAAAGACTTGTCCAAACTTTACATTGCAAATGGATTTGGAACCAAAATCTCAGTATTCACAACAAATTAATTACATCTTTTGTGCGTTGTGAACATACATTTTTAAATGTGTCAACAAATATAACAAACTATAATCTTACTTCTAACGTGTAATACCTTCAAATCATAGTACATCATATCCGGTTTCATATGATAAAGGGTCGAATAAAAATTCCTTTGATTTTGACAGTTGTTAGAAATTAACCCTGCATTTCATTGCAGAAAAAAACATATTTCTTGGGTGTTTAAAAGCCCCAATCTTTTTTTATTTGCTATAAAAAAAAAATTTGGAAACTTCAGGTGACATGGTTACTAAAGTTGTTAACAGGAAAACAAGGGATGAAAATTTGATTGGTTTACTTCCAGTGATGTTTATTATCTGATATGCAATGAAATGTTATGAGAAATGTTCACTATAGTACTTGACAGGATAAAACGTTACTCATGCAAAGTATTTCTTTATTTGAAACAAACTGGTAAATTCAGCACAATTTTTTGAAAAGTGCCAATTGAACAAAGACTAATTGGGGAAAATCAATCTGTTGGTATTACTCCTAAATGGGAAGCTGCATATGCACGTTTGACATTGTATGTACTCTATATTTTTTTTTAAATTTCATGGTATTCCGATCAAATATAGCAAACTTGAAATATTCTGAGTGCATTGAGCCTCAAAAACACATTTAAGGGGAAATTGCCTTGAAATAGGGCTATACCATGAATATGAGTACCGGTAGTCAAAGCAAGCCATACGCTGTGTTTTGGGGAGCTTTTTCTGACTTTTTCTCCTAGTTTCCTATATTGGGCTGTACAACAATATTGTTTCCGAAGTAAAACTTGAAGAAATATACAAGAATAAGTAAATGAAATGTTTTTTGAAGCAGAAACAACAAACTACTTACTTAAAGGGAACCATTCTATGTACCTCTCTGGAACGGGGCGTAAATTTAAGTTTTACGTAAGGACTTATTGAAATCTCCATGGAGTCGGTAAACTTTTATACGGATAGTTCATTCAGCTTAAACACTTCAATTACTCATTTATTATCACATTTCTTACATAAATATGTGAAAGTTACCCTAAAATTTTGATTTATTAGCCTAAGAAGTAAATGTTTTGAGAGAATGAGAGATATAATTGGACCATAAGGGACTTTATAATAAAGACAAAGAGGTACATTAGAGGTTTTCATCATCTTAGAGTCATCTTTTGTATCATATTCAACTGTTTTTATGCAGATGGCATGAATACTTGATCATTTCTTGATCCACACTATATTCTATCATGGTGCTGTGTGATTTGGATTTTTCGAAGAAATTTGACAAATTGCTGTAGATCTTACGTTATATTAAATTTCTCTCAAACTATTGAACTTATTATGACAAAACTAGACAGTAAGGCCTGAAATAGCCAGTATTTTACAGAGAATTAATCACATTCAGTTTTTTCAACAAAAATATCTTCTATATAAAGGTATAGTACGTCACATCCGGTTTCATACGAAAAAGGGTCGAAAAAAAATATTCCTTTCAATTTCGCAGTTGTATTAAATAAACCCTGCATTTCATTGCAGAAAAAAATTTATTAAATACTGATATTCATATCATAACAAAATAGTGATTTATATAAGAAATTAATTAGAAAAGATAAATAACATCCCATTACCAGTTGTAAGCCACATTTCCTCTTTAAAGAAATTTGTATGGTCTATTTCCTTATTTCCTTATTTAAATCACTGAACACAACCTTCATCCAAAATGAGTTGGTAATTAATGGATGATTATGGGTGAGATACGAATTCTTACAGAAAATATGTTGGTCCACGCATGTGGCCATGTCGCCTGAATAAAAAATGATCAAGATGTGGCCAAAATGATATAAAAAAGGAAAAAAATAATATTAAAGTTCACAAGTATGGCGTCATAATTACATTATTTGATTAATTATGATTTTGTCAAATATTTTAACTATATTCATCATATTCATATCAAATTTTGATGAAAAGTACTGATCTTAAATGGTAAGTAACTTATTCACCACTAATTACCTTCTTGGCCAATTCCTAGGACGTTATATTAAACACTTAGTCTCACAAATAAATTCAAAACGTGCTTTTCATCATACAAACAAATTTAAACAGTGATAAACCCTCGTATTAGACCTCAAAAAACCGAACCCGACATGTTCAAAGCGGACCCATTTCCCATCAGGAACGCCCATATGTAAATATTGAAAGCCAGGAAAGTAAGATAATTGAGAATCTGTATAACCAAACGGAACCTCAAAAAAAAGCCAAAACCATCTACGGTCCACTTTTCCTGACGGTTTTGGAACTTTTATTTATCAATTGTTTCGTTATTATTAGGTTTTGTAATAGACAAGGAAATAACTAGGGACGACAAACAAAAACGGTATGTACAAGTCGTTGGTAAATGAGGTGATAACGATCTGAACGGAAACACACATACATACATAAGTACATACACAGAATATAAGGAGATCACATCCGCAAACTTTCAGCAAAGAAGCCAATATGGTTTTTAATATGATTTGAAGAATAAAATGTAAAAAATTATAACCACAAAAACATAAAAAATATTTTATCTCCTTAGAAAAAATGAAATAACACTTCATGATTGTATGCGTCCGAAGCGCTTTTCTGGGTGTACCTTCATCAGAAACGCTCAAAGCCGGATATTTCAAGCCAATGACGTCTATAAACACAGAAACAGGCGATAAGTTTGATGACCATTTAAGAACTATCATCAAAATATATCACTTATAAGTAAAATAAACTATTCGGAACATTGTACATTCTTCTGCTGGTCCTTTTCTTTTTTAGCCATGGTGTTGTCAGTTTATTTTCGACTTATAAAGTTTGAATGTCCCTCTGGTATATTTCGCCTCTCCTTTATTAAGTGAAATATAGATCCGAATAACAGTGTTTTGGAGCTTATTTCATATCTTCAAAATTAAAAGTTAAATCAATGTCGAATCAGAAGTATGCGAGCTGTTATCTGATTACTCCATGAAATGCATGGAATCATCGAATCAATCTCTTGTTCTGCTTGTGTAACGCTGGTACGTATTGGCCACGATTATAAAGAGGTTATAATTGGGGAAAAGAGTAGGAACCAATTATATACTTCGTGTTAATCTAAGTAACAATCATCCAGCCAACTTAATCTTTTTTTGGTTTTTTTTGTTAAAATTTTTGAAATATCACAATTTATTTAAAAACACAAAAAATCGTTTAAAAATTGTGAACCGCCTCGATAAGTATTACAATGTGGTATAATTACATAGAGATCCATACACTCATAGTCAAGTGATTGTCTGGAAATCAAATGCCATCGGACGACAACGACGATGACGTCAACGCTATATCATTTGCGGTCGTATAAAAGGGTACAATTTTTTTCTGCTCACCCGCTTATCTTCAATATACTATAGTCCAACCAAAAAATGAAATTTTTACTTTATAATTCACTTGAAAATGATGTTTTCAGTTTTGTAGACAGGAATTTATTCCAATGTGTAATTACATTGTACATGAAGATATCTTGCTGGTTGGAAGTTCACGTATTGTTCAGGAATAAACAGAAACGAAGAAAAACAATTGGAACTTTTTTTTTTTTTTTGAAATTCGGCATTAATGGTTGATCTTTGAAAGTCTCTATTAATTTATTCGCAACTTTTAACTCCAGGCGATTGAGAGCCGGACATGTTTTGATACCTGTCTATTGTTGAATACTGTATGTTGGCATCTAAATGTCTTTTGATTATCTTTGCCGTTGGGTTGTTGATTCATTGACATACCTCTTTTTATTCATATAAATCTCTAATAAAGGTTAATCGTTGACTCAAATTTAAAAAGATTTTTAAAATCAGCCCCAGAAACAATACTAGTTAGTTTTTTATTGAAGCTTAATCACTATGATCAATATAGCTTATATTTGTTAAATTACTCGAAGAGAGTAAATTGATAATAACAAGCACACGCTAAAATTTTTCAGGTTGATTTTTTTTTAAGATAAGGGTCTTCCTACAGGTATCACATAAATTTGACATTATCACTGAACCATAAATATGAGGTAAAGATCAGATGAACCTATACATCAACCATTCTTTTGTTTATAGTATCTGAGAAACGCATAACAAACTTAACGTTGACTAAAGAATAAACAAAAAAATTGGACAAGGTCAAAAGGACACTTCCAGACTGACTGACAAAAACCCCTACAAACATTTTATACGCCAGGTATATTCGACCTATTGACCGAAAAAGTCGACCACAGTGACTTGACGGTGACTAATGAACCAAGAAAGTAAAGAGTCAAGGTCAGATGAATTCTGCCAGTCGGACATTTACACCTAACAATAATTCTATACACCAAATATAGTTGACCTTTTTTATGTAACTGAAAAATAAACAAAGTCTAAACGGTGACCAAGTGATCTCTACCTGATGTAGATTAACACCTTTCGATCGTTCTATACGTCAAATATTATTGAGCTATTTCAAATTTAGGATCCGAGATGCGGAACGAATTATGAAAAACATCCACGCTGATAAATGAACCATGAAATTATGTCACGTTAAGACAAACCATGCCAGATAGACATGTACTATCTGAGAATACTAAAAAATACTTCACGTTGACCAATTCGATGCACCATTTCAATGAAGTCAAGGTCGAATCAATGCTTCAAGAGGGATAAGAACACCTGGCAAATCTTCTTTACATCAAATATATAATAATATTGCTGATATTCTCTGAGAAACGGCATACTAAAAAAGATTCACATTGATCAATGATCCGTGAAAAATAGCTCAATGCCACATAAACCCTTTCAGACAGACATATAATACTAACAATCATTCTATACGCAAAATTAAGTTGACCTGTTCGATGTTTAGATTTTATTAATAAAAAGATATAGAAATCTGAACATTGAATAACATAAATAACAGTGTTAGTCATACTTAAGACAGTTAAAACTTAGTGAAAAGAGAAGTAAGAAATTGTTTTGGGACCTCTTAAATTTATCGTCCATTGTCCTCGAAAATTAATTCTTGTTTAATATCACATTTTTTTTCTTTATAATTTATATTTTTTTCTCTCAATAAAATGCAATCAAAAATGTAAACACGGTATCTATAAAAATAATACATGAACAAATAGTCTAGTAACACGTGAAAATATATCTACAGGTAACTTTGGAAAGTGAAAACGGACTATCTCAACTGACTTGATGTACTAGTATTTTATAAGACTACCGTAGACCGATGTAGCTATAGCTACATATTCTAAACAAGATTTCACGGAAACATTTCGTCTTCAATATGTACGGCTTGATACAAGCCGGTCTGGATAGCGGTCCCTAATTATTCTTTAATTTTTAGATCATTGTTCTCTATTCTTTATTTAATGTGCCCATTATTCTCTATTCTGTATATTTTAGCATCCCAGTTATGATTATTATCTAATATATATTTTAATTGTTTTGATTTTTTTTCCGTTCTTTATCTTTAGTCGTTTATTCTGCACTTTTTGACCATTATTCTTTATTCTGTTAATACCCATCCATATCCTATATTAATACAAATGCTATCAGGAAGAATTTAAGGAAACTTTTTGTCAATGTGTACGCAGGGCTCATGGTACCAGCATTGAAATAACTACCGCACTGATGCACCACCCATTTGGCAAGTGTCTGCTTTTTGATAGTTCTGATTCGGTTATAACACACAAGTTGTTTACCATTTCCAATTGTAACCTGATTCTCAACCGGACAAAGTGTGCTGCTGCACATGCAAACCAATCATTGGCGTAGCTTGAATGTTATATTAGCGAGGCAAATACCAAAACCAGCTTCTTATTCTATAGGATATGTGCAGGGTCACGGCATTAAAAATATATGCGTTTATTTTTTAAAATAAATAAATTCGTTAAAATGTAGTTAAATAATATGTTTAACTAAAATAAATTAAAGTTCAATAGGTAATTTAAAAAAAAACACACACATTTATGGCAAATTTTAAACACGATTAGTTAATCAATTCTTATTTACTTAACGAGCAGTTGCATATATTTCATGCATATTAATCAAGCTAACGCAACAGTGAGACGAGTTTGCTGAATATGCAATAGCCTTAGGGTACACGACAAATCGTACCTTTGACAACTCGAATCCTATTCTTACAAACTCGTACCCAAAATATTTTAGCATTAT